CGTCTACTTCTGCACTGCAGTCCTGTTCCAGCACCTGAGTGTTGCGTGTGCATCCGCTTAACAGATCTGACACTTTTGTATACAGACTGTTGGTTCTTTGCCTTTCGTGCAGATGTTCTCTAACTTCGCAGGAAGCTCCAAATTAGTCGACTCTTACGACATGCTTTTGGCTAGGCAGTTGATCTATTCTTGTTTTCCCTATAATAGGGCTCCAGAACCCACATGGGTTCACATTTTAAAAATGACTTCTCTTGAATTCTTTCAAGTTGCCGGCTATTATTTGAACTTGCACGAAGCCATATCTATACATATTTATTGGTTGCCATAGTAGTTCACAGGGTTTGATATCATAACCCTATGTATGAATTACCCAGAATTTGTTATCTTTCTCCGTTTGTTGTCATTGACCAATATTCAATATGCCTAACACAATATCTCCACGCCATGCTTGAATTTCTTGATCTACGACTAGCTTTTCTGGCATTAAAAAAAAACTGTTAACCACTCCCTTCGGATGTGTTAAAAAAAAAAAAATGCCCGTGCCTCGTACTTTGGCCTATTTCAAAGTAGCATTTGCCTTTATATTCTGAAAAGCCATGTGGCTTTGGCCAGGGAATTCTAAGCTTGTTAGCTGGTGATTTTTACTTGTTTTATCCAGTTTTCTTTAAAAAACCGTATGTTTCATTTACGAGTTTTACAGTGTTATCGTTACTTAGTTTAAGTGTTACCAATGTGTGTTTTAGTTGTCTGGTTTAGTTGATCAAACACTGGCTAAATCTAAAAAGCAATATATTTATGGATAAATTGATTTATTGATTGATGGAGTCGACACAGAACTCAAAATGGGCACAAATGTGCTAAATCATTTTCAGCAGCTGTTAATATGGAAAACGTAATTAAAGCGGGAACATGTCATAACTTTCTTCACAGTTGTTACAAATAAAGACATTTTATTCTGTCTCATAAGTCCAGAGCCGGATTAACCTTTAAGCACACTAAGCACATACTTCATCATCAGGTGCCTTGTCGACTGGCATGGGCGATCATGCCTCTCCATAATCTGCCATCTCCTGCAGCATGTATCAGTTCGTGTGCCGACACACCTCTATGCCATGCAACAAGACTATCAAGCGTCATCTCTCATTGTCTTCCTCTATCTCTCCTTCCACAGATCTTTCCAGTGGTCACAACATGTTCTATTTTCCCTCTTCTCATAACATGGCCGAAAAATTATGACTTCTTCTTATGTCTGTGATAAGTTGTCTTCGGGCTCCCGCCTCTTTCAAAACTACTTGGTTGCTCTTTTAGCTGTCCAAGGAATTCTAAGCATTCTTCTGTAAAACCACATCTCTGAGGCCTCAAGAAATTGTTTGGTCTGCCTACCGATTGTCCAGGATTCACAGCCATATGTTAAAACTGGATGTATGTAGCAAGCAAGAATTCTTTTTTTTTTTAACTCCCACATGCTTAGGGTACCACAAAGGGAAGGGGGCACCACTGACATTCCCAATAACATTGAAGATGGGCGTCTATTTCCTCGGTTAAAGTATAGTTTAAAAAAAAAAAATGCATGAGAACACCAGTGTAACAAGTCTGGATGGCTTGACGTGCTTTGCACACACACACACACAAAATTGTCACGTTCAACCAGCTCCCTGGAGGGAGCGCTTGAGGTTATAATTGGGACTAGGTTGTGTGCGCCACATCAAATGGTTTAGCACTGTACGCCACCAAGAGCCCGGAAAAGAAGTCTTGCAGTGTTGATTCGATCAAAGGAGATATACACAAATACTGACCCCACCGGCGACGAAGTCGTCTACTGGCGAGCCAGTGGGTCACCAGGTCGGCGCTGGGCTGGATGCCTTATCTCTGTTAAATTTAGAAAGACATGTGTTATGTAAGATAAAGTGTCAGAATCTTATAATAGATTTTGCAATTTAAAAAAAAAAGTAGGAGAAAACCTTTCAAATTTAAATAAAGTGGAAGTATGTTTTTTGTTTTTAGTATCCAGAAGCCATGTATTGTTAACCCTTAGTCTCGGTATTATGGATATCGCAACCTTTCAACCTTGATTCCATTGTAAATACCGTAAATCTGGGAGAAATGGTGGCTTTCCTGCCTTTCCCGGGAGTGAACCCGGACCACAATGAGTTCGTCACCCGCTCTCCGCGCAATCCGGTTTAGCCAACTACGCCAGAGAGCCGGGGCAAAGTGGAAGTATAAAACAAATAGACATGATTTTCCATCTACTGTAAATTTGGTTTAGATTCTTCTTCTTCTTCGCGTTCACTGGCTGAAAATTCCGACGCAAAGTTCTGGTTGTTCGTTCACTTCTAGACTGCAGTCCTCCTATTCCAGAACCTGAGGTTTGCGTGTGCATCCGTTTGACAGATCTGACTAATTTGTATGCAGACTGTTGGTTCCTTGCCTCTCAGGCAGATGCAATTTGATTTCGAAGGAAGCTCCCAAAATAGTCGACTCTTACGACATGCTTTTTTGTAGGCAGTGAGTCTGTTCTTGTTTTCCCTATAATAGGGCCCAGTAACCCACACGGCGATGGTTTAGACTATTTTATATTTATAGTGTATTATTGTTTATATCTTCTTCCTCTGTTTCTTTGTGTCTTTTAAGGATCAGATTGTTTCTACATTTGTTTATGTATAGAAATAAACGACTCATTTTCCACGCCTTGGCGTATTGGTTATACAGGACTGGACCTATGTTTATAGATATATCAGCACTAGATGGGTGATGTAGTTAACATAACGCTGGCCGCCTTTACTTCCTAGGACTTCACCTGGTACCCATTTAAGGTTGGGTCGACCTGGGCGCCAAAGTCATTTTTTCGAAGAAAAACGGTTTTGCTCCTCCAGGGTCTGAACTATAAATATATAATCGACTTAATTTGACATGCTGACGGTGCGACATTAATTCGACACAACACACTCACAAGCTGACGACCCTGGCTTAGAAAAAGAAATCAGTCGGCGCCTTAAGGTAAGAATATTTCCTGATTTTCGACACCCGTGATAGCGGCTAAGAAACACACGTGTGCTTGCATGGAGTGCAGTAACACTGCATTTACGTTATCGGTAAATCAGTTGCATCATTGTTGTGATTTACGGTTCAGTGAACATCACATTAGAGGCGTGTTACACATTTTAATAACAGCTTTCCTTTATACGAAACTAGATTTAATTGCGCCGGCTTTACCCGGGATAGTGAAAGAAAGTCTTAATCTCCCGTCCTCTGTTTCATCTTGGTTTCCCCTGCTGCCCTATTTCCTTTTACAAATTTTCGCGGGATAGACCTAGGAGCTGAGGGTGATTTGATAATTCCCCCGACATGTCAGCTTCAACCCACCGTACTACCGCGGTTACAACGCCGTTCCCTCAGGCTGTTTCTAGATATCCGCAATATCCTGGTACAGTTGCTCTAGATAATCCGCTATATCCCTGTACAGCTGACAGAGACGACCACTATTTCCCCCTCACACGGCGAGATGTTAACATGACGGTGCAGTTTTAAAATAGCTCAAAAACGAGAGCGTGAAACCACACTCGCACTTCCAGCGCCTGTCTATCTCACTATGGCTTAGCGGCTAAACGTCAGTGCACCAAGGGAATACCAGAACAAATACAGCAAATCAATAATTGTTTTTATTATTCTGCCAGATGAACATAAGAGCGACGTGTTGCCGGTTGTTTGTAGCGGTAATAGCTCTTACATTATTACAGCTAGACTGATGATACGAGCGGCGGAAGTACCACTCACTGTTGGTGTAGCAATGTGTTATAATATGTTATGTAACGAGTAGAGTTCTGGGTAAATTGTCAGCTCTCACTATAGCAACGCAGGGTATAGTTGTGTGTTGCAAAATGTGTTGTATTTGGAACAAGGATCTCATGAAATGTGTACCTATCACTATAGCATACATGTTCTTTTAAAATGCCATTTGCCGTTATTAATTAGATTTACTGAGAAATTGCTTAAATTAGCAATAAATCAAAATCAGTGTATAGGTTTTGGTAGCGTTGGCTATTTTGAAAGTAATTCAAAGTTTATTTTAATAGTATTCAATTAATATTCTAAAGCTTAAATTAATAGTATATTAATGCTAGAGCATGGCTTTCCTGACAACATACGTGGGCATACTGCTATTTCATTTTTCTGTTACATTCAGGGAATACTGATTAATGCTACAGTTTCAATGCAAACAGTCGAAATGCACATCGTATTACAACTTTAAGTTTGGGAAAGGTATCTATTATACCTGCGTGTATCCAGAAAAAAAAATTACCGAGCAAAAAGTAACTACTAATAACTGCAGCTCCAGTCAACCCTCAATGTGGAGACGGCAGCTGATTGCTGGATGAGGTTTAGACGACGGATCAATATCATGGTACTAGGGAAGTAACAGATAAGTGCTTCCTTCTACTTCTGACTCAAGCCTGAGTCCGAAACATTGCATCGCAGTGCACGAACTCTGTTGCAACGGCGAAGATCCTGAAAAACTTCGGGTAGATTTTTTACTCTAAATTTCTCTCCTTTCAATCTGGAGTTTAAACGGATTGATTGAATTACTATTTAATAAAATTTGAAGAAAACTTCCCTTGCCTTCCTAAACGGTATAATAAGAAAGGGAAGAAACAGAAGATAACCAGGGGACATGTTTGAACGGTATAACATAGAAAGGGAAGAAACAGAAGATAAACCAGGAGACATGTTTGAACGGTATAATAAGAAAGGGAAGAAACAGAAAATAACCAGGGGACATGTTTAAACGGGATAATAAGAAAGGGAAGAAGCAGGAGACAACCTGGGGGAATGTTTTGGCTATGTGATTATGTTCAGGCTGGTTAATTGCTAATGATGAAAGTTGCTAAAAATAACACGCAACATTTTCACTTTTCAGGGGAGAGGAGAACCTTGGCTTGAGGGTCTTTCAAGGTGAGACTTCCTCTCAGTTGCGCCTTCAGGTGTTGTCATCGTGCAACAACATGGCGGCCGTCTGCGATACGCCGCTGTGGGTAAGTTATCTCCCGATAAGAAGAGTGAAGACAATGCATCATCATTAAGTGTCGTGCCGCGAAGTTTTGACTGTAGTATACTTTATACATCTATGCATTTATCCTGATCTTTGATGTCCTTATAGGTGCCCTGTTCTGTTTTAATTATAGTAGTTACACTTTATGCCCTCTTCAACTTGAACATGACTTCCTTATTTACTCTCCTGAGTGACATTAGGTAAGGAATCCGGAATGCATAGCTAGTAGTTAAGCTAGACGTACAGTAACAGGATATGCCATTCACGATCCATGTTCAAGTAAACATTGACTGAAATAATAACTGTGCTTATAAGCTACCCGCAGGAGGCAGCTTATCTAATGTTTTCGTTTTATTACTTGTTACTACCACTACTGTTGCTGCTACTACTACTACTGCTGCTGCTGCTGCTACTACTACTACTGCTGCTGCTACTACTACTACTACTACTACTACTACTACTACTACTACTACTACTACTACTACTACTACTACTACTACTACTATTACTACTACTACCACCACCACTACTACTACTACTACTACTGCTGCTACTACTACTACTACTACTACTACTACTACTACTACTACTACTACTACTACTACTACTACTATTACTACTACTACCACCACCACTACTACTACTACTACTACTACTGCTGCTACTACTACTACCACCACCACCACCACTACTACTACTACTATCACCACCACCACCACTACCACCACCACCACTACTACTACTACTACTACTACTACTACTACTACTACTACTACTACTACTACTACTACTACTACTACTACTACTACTACTACTACTACTACTCTTCTTCTGCCTTTCTATCCCCCAATAAAGCATAGGCCCTCATCCAACTCACACCAAGTCGTTCTATCCTTCTCTACTACATGAAGCTCTCCCCATGACCTCCCTATCTTTCTAACTTTATTCTCCAGCAATCTTCTCCATGTGTTTTTTGCCTTCCTTATTCCTATGCCCCTGAATTTCCAATGCAAAGACATTCTAGTTATGCTGTTCTCCGGTTTTCTCAATGTGTTACCTATCCAACGCCAGCATCTTTTCCTAACCTCTTGGTCCACTAGAGCTTGCTTAGTTCTCTCCCAAAGCTCTATATTAGTTATTCTATCACACCATTTAATTCCTTCTATTCTGCGCAGGCACCATCTACTAATGTATTATTATTACAGTATTACCATTAATTCCAGTGGTAGTGGTGTAGTAATTATACCAGTGTAACAACTACTACTACTGCTGCTGCTGCTACAATTACTGCTGTTGCTACCACCAGTACTACTAGAGTGAGTGAGAGAGAGAGATTTGTTATTGCCTTTTCTTTTCAGATAATTAATACTATGCTGCATTTGGCTATAAATATCACCCAAGGGACTAGCAAACTGGTCTACTTACGGAGTGGGTCAGCATATGGAGCGAGGCCTACTGCATTGATACTATGATACTGTTCTTCCTTAATTGACTGATATTAGAGAATACAGCATCATATGGAATCATACTTAACCACAAAATCGATCATCCTTAGTTTTGTCATTATTTCTATAAAAAACTAGTCAGTCTTGGTCTGTGTCCTTTTCTTATTACAAATGATTGTTAAGGGGACTAAGCGGTCAACGTACAGCTTACAGAGGTGGTCAACATACAGAGTTAGCCTTCTATTGAGAATTTGTGATAACCGTCCTACCAATGAAAATGTAAGTCAGCTTCCAGAGGTGGTCAACTTAAGAGGCTCTACAATACCACTCCTATAAAACCAGAGCAGTTACAGATCTTCTTTTTCTTATCTTATATCGGCTGTAAACTCTGGTGGACATTTTTAATTGTTCATCCACTTCTGGACTTTGGGCTTATTCTAGTTCTTGAGTTTGGTGTGCATCAGTTTTACAGATCTAGCTTATTTACTTAAGGACTGTTGGTTTTTCTCATCTCAGGCAGTGTACTTCGATTTCAAGGAAACTAACTTTTATAACATGCTTGTTCGGGGGGGGGGGGGGGGGGGATCTATTCTTGTCCCCCTCCAGCGAAACAACATGGCCCTCCACTTCCCCCCTTTTTTTTGGTTGGCTTAAAAGATGGCACCCTACCACCAGAAAATTTTGAATGTGGCTAAACAACTCTCCTAATCATGCATAGAAAATCTCTTTTGTTTTTTAAAATTTATACATTTCATATATAGATATAAATTATACATTTTGTGTGTGAGCCGATCAGCACTTTACTAGATTAATAAATATGGCGTTGCTCTTTGTCTCTCTCTCCCCCTTTCTCTCCCTCTCTCTCTCTCTCCCTCTCTTTCTCTCTCTCTTTTTCACCGCCTCCTCCAATTATATGTTGAACATTTAAGGGAAGATGGATGAGTCATTGCAGTGTTTTCTTTGCTTCAACACCCTTGGAGATGAACGTTATTTCACTCCTCTTCATTGTGAACTTAAGCAATTCCTATTAAATTTGAATGGTTTTAACACAAGAGTATTTGATATTTCCTAATGGAGTAGCTCAACTGAAGTGATGCATTTACAAATGATGTTTCAGTGACAATGTTATTGCACAGGTAGATTTGTGTTGGTGTCACAGACAGTGACGGGTTTAATGGCATGGAATCATCGATTGCCAGGGAAATTATGGCTAAATGTAATTTTGTGAAGTGTTGAAAAATATACTGACTCCTGTCACTTTTCGGGTTTAATAGATACCAGCAGTTGTTTGAGTGGAGGGAAAAAACACAGGCTCGTACACACATACAGAGAGAGAGAGAGAGAGAGATAGAAGAGGATTAGAGACTGAGGTAGTTAAGATGAGGGAGAGCACAAGGGATGAGCTGCATATAATGGCAAAGCATTGGATAACCTGCCGCAAGTTGATTAATTATCTGTGTTCCATTGGGGATAAAGACTAGAAAAGGAGAGGCTTGTCTGAATATATTAATACGGTATTAATAAGTGATACATTTTATTCTGGTTGACATTGCTTCCTAAAATATTTCCCAGTATCCATTTTGTCTCCCTGATCCATCTCCAAATTGACATATATATATATATATATAAAATATTACTACTAGTAAGTTGTGTATAGAAAATTTGGCTAGTAAAATCTGATAACAAATATGTATTAACTTGTGGGTTTCAGGGCCCCATTTTGGGGGAGTAAAGAACATATACACTGCTTCTTAACTGGCATATTAGGAAAGTGGAGTAATTAAGATGTGTTGTTGACAACCACAATTTTATAAATGAACTTAGCAAAAAAGATGGAAAAACATACATTTACAAGTAAAATGCTTGCTTGCCTGTTGTACCCTACCAGAACATCACACAAGCGATAAACATCCGGTGACACAAAGTGCCATTATGCGGATGAGGATCACCTGTGGAGAGGTCCCAGAAACCCTTTTCAGTTGTTTTGGCCACTATTGGGGCCCAGCTATATTCAGGGCACCTGGCAAAAGCCAGGGTGGGGCTTCAAATAACGAGAAATTGCATCCCTCATGGGGATGACTGATATAATAGCTGATGTACAAATAAAATGCCAGTTTAAAAACACATGACAATTTTTCTTTATTGTCTCAATTGCAGGATACAAATTTAACATGGGATACACCTGATCCAGACTTCACACCTTGCTTTCAGAAGTCTATTTTAGCTCTTGTTCCATGTTTTTTCCTTTGGCTGGTTATACCCTTCAGAATATTGCAGCTATGGCATGCTCATGTCGGGATTATACCATGGAACTGGCTGTCTGTGTTGAAGATGGTAGGATTTGCTGTTGTGCCTAATGTTTTCTATATTTAAACCTATAACTATATCTATTAAGTTGCAATAATTGTTTTGTGATTTTTTGGGGGGTGATTTTCTAGTGTATACTTACAATTTTACAAATATTTTAAAAATGCTGAATGAATTATTTGAGCAGTTAATCAAGAATTTACATTATTGTATTTGGGGCATTATTATCATGCTCTCTCTTCTTCCTCAGTAGCGATTGAACAATTCCTAATTACCAGTGTGCCAGTAACAACTGGTTTAAAAGTGCTTGTCTTTTTCCCTGCAATTTGAATGCTGTTCAGACCCTTTGTGAACTTGCTGAATCAGTCTCTCCAAGTATGGATACCCTCTCTGTTCTACGAGGGGTCTCTGTGACAAAGTGGTCAAGTCATTTGCCACATTCTCTGAAGGTCATGGGTCATTTCATGGTGGCGCCGTTCAGTTCACGAGTGCAACTTTTACAGAGATCCCTGGAGATTGTCACCGGAGCTACGGAGGTCGTGCTCTTTGCGATGCTCTTGGCAGGCTGCTAGCTGTTCTGTGGAGAGAGACTGAGCCATATGGGATAAAAGCTGGTGCAATGAAGTCGATCCTCTCACCTTTAGCTTTATCTTCACCTGTCTCTGTTCTACGAATAGATCACTGTGGTCTAAAGAAAATGATGCAGCTAGGAGTGACCAGGGAATTTGTTCAACACTGCTACACTCAGAGAAAAGGCAAGACCAACATATAATTAAACTTCCGCTGGCACCACTGGAATTGAAACTTTCTGCTGGCTGCTGAAGATGAGGAAGGAGCGCCTGTTGGAATGTCCCAAGTGCTGTGATGTCAGTTCTTAGATCAACACTCTTCCTGTATGGGTTCCGGGGCCCTACTCTGGGCAAAACAGCAATCAACCCACTGCCTCCCCAATGAGCACGTCGCAGGAGTTGACTAATTGGGGTCTTTCGTCGAAGTCGGAGGGCATCTGCCCTGTGTGGTTGTTGTTGTTATTGATCCAGTGGCGCATGAGCTTTCACCCTTTGGCCCAATGCCATCTAGTGGAATTTACATGTTTTCACAAGCTGTTCTTTTCCTCCGTACAAGGTGTTCCACCTGTCTGGTCTTGAAGGGAGTAGCATTCTTCTAGTCTCATTGAGTTTTGGGCACTCAAGGAGATGATGGTCAACAGTTTCGTAGGGGTAGTTACATAGCTGGCACTCTGGGGAGTGTTGTGGCTGTATTCTGTTTAGGTGTCCACTGAGTGAAGTATGTTGTGTTCTGAGTCTGAAGATGGTGGCCTGGTCCCTTCTTGTTAAATGGTTAATGCTGTGGTTAGGATCAGGGCTAGCCATGTGTCTATAAACCTCTCTTCCAGTATCTCCCTTGGCCCATCTGTGTGGTGAGGAGCAACATCTGCACACAAATAAGCCAGTAAAATGGATGTACATGTTGAATGTTTAATTAAGAATCAACATCACAGCACTTGGGACACTCTCATAAGTACTTCATCCCCATCTTCAGCAGCAAATAAGGAGTTCCAGTTCTGATGGCACCAGCTGCTGTCTCACCTTTCCCCTGAGTGTTGAGCATCGGCCAGATCCCCTGGTAACTCCTAGCGACACCATTCTCCTCAGACCGTAATGATTGGTCTGTACTTCCTCACTGTTCACTCGCTCCCAAAGGGAACTCACAACATCTAGCTTGTCGTACAATAATTTACCACCACATGGCCCCGAACCGGCTAGTCTACCTGCCTGCTCATTTCCCAAAACACCGGCAATGGATATACATGCAAAACTCAGGCCCTGCACAAAGCCAAAGTCCAAAAGGATGAACAACCAGGACTTTCCATCAAAGCTTACAGCCGGTGAACAAGGAAGAAGATCAACACTCAACTAAAGACTCTCTATTCTGTTGCACTGTCCATGTAATCTCAGAGAACATTCACCATTTGAAGGTTTAAAAAAAAAAAATTCAAACAATGGACAGTTCAAGCTATCAGCTTTAGAGGCATATTTGGGTTAGAGATGTGGCCTTGATAGCTAGATGCTAGCCTGCTTGCTTGAAGGCCTTGGGTTCAAATCCAAATTGAGGCAGGTTATAATTTACCTGTGGCTCCCAGTTTGTCTTGGTCTAATTAGGCACCATGAAAGATCCTGGGAGATGAAGGTGACCAGCAAAATGTTGATCACATCACTCATCGAGTCAGTAGGTCTGTAAAAATCTGAATGGAGCACCATATGCCTGACAGATTAAAAAACACAAATATTTTAGCACTTAAAAATTTTTAAGATAAAAATGGATGTTAAGAACATGCTAGAAGTTTTATCATCATCATCAAGTGCCTTGCTGACTGGCGTGGGTACTCATACCTCTCCACAATCTGCAATCTTCAACAGCATGAATCAGTTCGTGCATTGACATCCCTCCATGTCATGACAAATAGCTGTCAAGTGTCATCATGTATTGACATCCCTCCATGTCATGACAAATGGCTGTTAAGTGTCATCATGTACTGACATCCCTCCATGTCATGACAAATAGCTGTCAAGTGTCATCATGTACTGACATCCCTCCATGTCATGACAAATAGCTGTCAAGTGTCATCATGTATTGACATCCCTCCATGTCATGACAAATGGCTGTCAAGTGTCATCATGTATTGACATCCCTCCATGTCATGACAAATGGCTGTCAAGTGTCATCATGTATTGACATCCCTCCATGTCATGACAAATGGCTGTCAAGTGTCATCATGTACTGACATCCCTCCATGTCATGACAAATGGCTGTCAAGTGTCATCATGTATTGACATCCCTCCATGTCATGACAAATGGCTGTCAAGTGTCATCATGTACTGACAGCCCTCCATGTCATGACAAATGGCTGTCAAGTGTCATCATGTATTGACATCCCTCCATGTCATGACAAATGGCTGTCAAGTGTCATCATGTATTGACATCCCTCCATGTCATGACAAATGGCTGTCAAGTGTCATCATGTACTGACATCCCTCCATGTCATGACAAATAGCTGTCAAGTGTCATCATGTACTGACATCCCTCCATGTCATGACAAATAGCTGTCAAGTGTCATCATGTATTGACATCCCTCCATGTCATGACAAATGGCTGTCAAGTGTCATCATGTATTGACATCCCTCCATGTCATGACAAATGGCTGTCAAGTGTCATCATGTATTGACATCCCTCCATGTCATGACAAATGGCTGTCAAGTGTCATCATGTACTGACATCCCTCCATGTCATGACAAATGGCTGTCAAGTGTCATCATGTATTGACATCCCTCCATGTCATGACAAATGGCTGTCAAGTGTCATCATGTACTGACAGCCCTCCATGTCATGACAAATGGCTGTCAAGTGTCATCATGTATTGACATCCCTCCATGTCATGACAAATGGCTGTCAAGTGTCATCGTGTATTGACAGCCCTCCATGTCATGACAAATGGATGTCAAGTGTCATCATGTATTGACATCCCTCCATGTCATGACAAATGGCTGTCAAGTGTCATCATGTATTGACATCCCTCCATGTCATGACAAATGGCTGTCAAGTGTCATCATGTATTGACATCCCTCCATGTCATGACAACTGGCTGTCAAGTGTCATCATGTATTGACATCCCTCCATGTCATGACAAATGGCTGTCAAGTGTCATCATGTATTGACATCCCTCCATGTCATGACAAATGGCTGTCAAGTGTCATCATGTATTGACATCCCTCCATGTCATGACAACTGGCTGTCAAGTGTCATCATGTATTGACATCCCTCCATGTCATGACAACTGGCTGTCAAGTGTCATCATGTATTGACATCCCTCCATGTCATGACAACTGGCTGTCAAGTGTCATCATGTATTGACATTCCTCCATGTCATGACAAATGGCTGTCAAGTGTCATCATGTATTGACATCCCTCCATGTCATGACAAATGGCTGTCAAGTGTCATCATGTATTGACATTCCTCCATGTCATGACAAATGGCTGTCAAGTGTCATCATGCATTGTTTTAATTTGTCTCTTTTCCATAGATCTTTTCAGTGGTTACAACATGGTCCAGTTTCCTTCTCATAACATGACCAAAAAATGATGACTGTTTCTTTTTGATGTTTGTTAAAAGTTGTGATAAAGATTTTTAAGGTCTTATCAGATCATTTTGTCTGATCACACAGATTGGCAAGTTGATTAGAGAATATCCATTAGCCAGATTTTTTCAAAATGCTTGTTATGCCAAACGGTAAATGTTAATGGGAGTGAATTTGCTGATTTTTCAGGCAGTTGCTGGTGTCCTGTTTGCATTTGCTGCATACGAATTCTGTTTTGTCATTGCTGAAGCAGCAGATGGGGAAAGTAAACCTCCGATAGAATTTCTCTCTCCATTTGCTGTACTAGTTACCATGGTGAGTTTGTGTTTTAATTTAACATTACTAATAATTTTTTTAAATAATGCAGATACATACAATACATTGCACAATTTATTTCTAGTCATATTTCGCTGTATCTCATCAGGTGCGTTACTACAGAGTTACATCAACATAAAATAAAGCACAAAACTGAATAATTTCAACTGAAATGTGAATAGTTTCTTCGATACATTGTCTCTGTTTCATGGCCTGTTCGCATTTCAGTTGAATTCATCAGCATGTGACACAAACAGACAAAGATGCAATTACTAATAAGCAAACATTAAATCACTTGGTTTTATAGTGAGGCCTGTCAGTAAATCCCCACCTACTCATGAACAAGATTGCATTCACATGCTATTGCAGAAGTAAAATACTGGATGGGAAGTGACCTGAAAAAGTGTATAGAGGGCAGCAAGGTCATGCATGTAACTAAAAGTTTTGTAATGATAACTGAGTTTGGACATTAACATTAAGACCTTTAGGAAAGAAAGTTGGCGGCGGTTAATTATTTGTGCACACTTCCTTGTTCTCTACCATAGTCTGTCCTCTAGGTCCAAATTGGTTTTCTGATTTCTGACTGCAGGTTGTGAGACTAGAAGCATTCAAAAACCGATGAAGGAAACTGCTGAAACAGAAATCCATTTTAACATATATTTATAATTTGTCTGGGCTTGACAGAATTACAAACCATATTTAATTTATGATGATTTCTGAAGAGTTACACAGAAGAATTCATGATTGTATTTTCTTATGATGATGAGAGAATGGCTGAATGGTAAAATATCTGCTGGACACACCATGGGATGGGAGTCGCCCTGGCGCAGCGACTATAAGCTCGCCGAGGATCAGAAGGTCGTGGCTTAACTCCCTGGCGGAGCGACTAGATGCTCGCCGCTGATCAGAAGGTCGTGGGTTAACTCCCTGGCGGACCCAAACTTTTTTTCAAAAATGACTTTGGCTGCCAGGTCGATCCAGCCTCGAGTGGGTACCGTGTGCAATCCCGGGAAGAAAAGGCAGCTGGTGTGATGAATACATCACCCATCTTGTGCAGTTGGTCTATAAAAATATAGGTCTAGCCTTATATGCCCTATAAGCCTAAAGGTGTGGAAGAGGGTCCTTTACTTTTTTTTTTTACACCATGGAATGTATGTTTGATCATTAATGAAGCTCTGATTATTAAATATCTATTTCAGGTGTGCCATAACCCTCAATATAGTGGGATTATTTTAGTACAGACTAAGCTCTAAGATTTTAAGAATAGTTTTAACTAAGACACATTTTTCTAGCTCAAAGTATGGGGCATGAGCAACAGTTTCCTATGTGAGCACTAGGGCCCCATTCTAGAGGGGGGTAAAGGATAGATCCACTAACTTCCCTAACAAGAATTGTACAAGGTGACTAATTAGGGTTTTGCTGGAAATCAGTTGTGTTGGGTTGAAAGTTGCATATATCACAGCTGTAAACCGCAACACCTAGCTGTAAACCACAACACCAAGCCATAAACCACAACACCTAGCTGTAAACCACAACACCTAGCTGTAAACCACAACACCTAGCTGTAAACAACACCTAGCTGTAAACCACAACATTTAGCCGTAAACCACTACACTAAGCTGTAAACCACAACACCTAGCTGTAAACCACAACACTTAGCCATAAACCACAACACCACCTGCCAACTGCACTTTTAAAGGTAAATGTAGAAGAAGAAGAAAAAGGGAAACATTGTGAAATGAGGTGCAGATGATAGAAACTTGAGAATGCTTGTTGCACGTGGTCCTGAAAATGGGCACAACGTAGAGCTAGGGTTGTGAGTTATGAGAGATTAAGCAGCTGTAGGCAGCATATATTTCTAATGATGTGCAAGCTGTTCCAGTTGTCCATGAAACAACCAATAAATTGCAGAATATTAACTAACACCCTCGTAGCTTCAAGTATGATATCACATTTGCCAGTAACAGATAAGATCATGTTACAGATCAGTGTGTTTATATCATTGTATTCTCTATAGCAATAATTCCTTTGCCTGCTTATTAGGTCTGTTGCAACTACACATCTTCATTGGCCAGGACATTTCTGGGTGACACTATACTTTGCCCAATACTAGCAGCCCCCTAGAAACCATGGAAAGAGATGTCTGAGAAGTGCTACAGGAGTGACCAGAAGAGATAAAATTAGGAATGAGGTCATAAGAGATGTTGCGAGTCACCGAGTGGATAGATGCTTTTGTGATGAGCAAGTGTTTTAATTTCAACACTTCCCCTCCACTGGAGAAACTGGACTAATATACGAGCTATGTTGATCTGAGACAAAGTCCTGGATATCCAAGAAAACAGCCATATTTGGCTTATCGTGTAAATTCACAGGTGCCCACAGGAGAAGGAAAAGGGGTTTTGGATGTTGAGATTACTTTAGTTAATTAATTGTTAGACAGGGCAGGTGACCCCTCCTGACAACCTCTCCCTGGTAACGAATTATTAAAGAGCGCCACACCAAATGTAATTCTATCTAACTCTTCAGTTAAACGTGTAAGAACAAATGCACTTGGAATTTGACAAATGATGTAGTATACATCTTGATATATTGATTTATTATGCTAACAATCATTTAGATGATATTTGTCATTTTATGCTAGTTGAACACGGAAATGAGATGTCTGAGAAGGGCTGTAGGAGTGACCATAAGAGATAAGATCAGGAATGAGATCATAAGAGAACAAGTCGGCACAGAACCAATTCTGGATTACATACAAAGACAGCAAGTGAAATGGTTTGCCCACTTAGAGAGAATGCCTTGTGACACCATACCATACAAAGCATACATGGAAAGAGAAGAAGGACGTAGAGCACGGGGTAGACCAAGAACAAGATGGAAGGATAACATCAGAGAAACTCTACAACAGCACGATGTGCCTATGGTCGAGGCAGCCAGAAGAGCTAGAAACAGAACCTTATATCTTCCTCAACACCCACAGCGGTAAAAGAGAAAGTGAAGATGAAGAAGAAGAAGAAGAACAACCAATGACTGTCTGATGGTATGGTGGTTTTGAGATGCTTCAGCTAGAGAACTGAGCACCTGAGATTAGAGTGATGTTCTTGTGATGATGATACGTTTACACACACAGAAAAAATGCTTAGCTTTGGATTTAAGTAAAAAGGAACCTCTGAGAGCCCTTGATTTGAGGCCCTGCTTAGTTTTTTCCCAGCCTGCCAATCTCCCACCCAATGTAGGTTTATACACTGGACCCTCTGCTTTGATAAGTGCTGATTGGTCCTTGTCCCTTATGGGAACAATAATAAAGGAAACAAGCTCATATGTGTAGTATCTAGACTTACACCAAACATGCATATTCTACTAAAAACATATTTTATCTCACCTTCACACTTTCAGACTACATCTATCCTTCACTGTGACTATCAGTCAATTGCAACAGTGCACCAACTGATCAAATTTTCTTAAGTGGGCCATCTGGTTTTAGCCAGTATTAATAAAAGGTGTGTAAAACCCAAATAAGTGGAGCCATCATGTCTGGACTTTTTTTGCTGGCCAGACTTAATTCCCCCTGATTAGGCAAGTTCAGAATGGCCCAGCCTGGCCTATGATGTAATATTTATGACACCTCTTGTTTTCCCTGGTGGACTGGCTAGTAATCTTATGTAATATTAGACAAAGACTTGTTGCTTTGTCTGGGCTAAGAACTGGAAACAATTTTCAATCTCACATACTATTTGGATTTAGTGCATAGTAAATATAGTTCTTACTTTCTTTATTGAAAAAAAAAGAAGAAATTATTAAATATATTAAATTCTGAATACACTGAGGCGATTTCATCATGAGAGAAAAAGTCTGCACAGAAACAATTCTAAAATACAGCCATTTTCATTGTCTTGGCAATTTCTATTTTCCTGAGAAACCCTCAGTTTATGGCCTAGAAAAGTCTCCCAGACGCTGCTTTTTGAGTAGCCAGCTCTGCTTCAATAATCATAATAATAATAATAATAATAATAATAATGTATTTAATGTCTGTTTGATGTAAAATTCTCTCCATATTTAGATTCTGGTTATGATTCTGCTAAACCTAGAGCGCAAGCGAGGTATAAGATCTTCAAGCGTCCTGACATTGTTTTGGCTGCTGTTTCTATTTTGTGGAATCATCCGCTTGCGATCAGTCATAAAAGAAGCCATGAGAACAGTAAGCAAATGATAAATAGTTATCTCAAATTGTAATTAGTCATTGAAAATCCTGTCATTACTGCCGACTTTTCAGTATGTAGCATAATTACAACAGAGCAGCTCTGAGGGGACCATTGATAAAAGAAAGAAGAGTACTGAAATTTAATAAAATTGACAAAACTGTCAGAACTGTGCCATGTCTGCGAAATAGAATACTTTGGCCATAGCATTGGTTCATAAAGAAAAATAATCTTCATCATCTTAGCATTTACATGCTATAAACTCTGCAGAAAGTTCTGGTTGTTCATTCACTTCTTGCCTGTTTCCAGAATTTTAGTTTTATGTACACATCCATTTTACAGGTCTGGCAGACTGTTGGTTCCTCTACACTTTTTAATTTGTTTTTTAAATTTCCAATATGGGACACAATTTTTTTTGTTATTTCAAAGCCCCAACCTGGCATTTGTCAGGTGTCCTAATATAACTTAACTAGCATTTAGGTGATTTTCATCCGAATGATAGCACTTTGTGTCACATGCATTTATCGCTTGTTGTACAATCTTGGTAGGGTTAAACTTCATTCATTCATATATTCAATCATTAATTCCTCAGCACTCAGGTAGATAAAGCATCCTTAATTAGGTGCCTAGTACAACATATTTTTTTAAAGTGGGCAGTGGGTCTCTTTTACCCCCAAAATGGGACCCCAGAACCCAGGGGCACATCGTCATCTGAAGCTACTCATATTTGTTATAGACCAGTCAATACTTGAAGAGTGATGTGGTCACTATTACTTCTTTTTTTCTTCTTTGTTCACCGGCTGTCAGCTCCAGTGGAAATTCCTGGTTGTTCGTCCATTTGGACTTTGGCTTTGTGCCAGGGCCTGAGTTTTGCATGTGCGTCCATTTTACTGGCTTATTTGTGTGCACTTGGTTGTTCCTTGTCGCTTGAGCAGATGCACCCCAACTTCGAAGGAAGTCCCCGATTATTAAACTCCTGTGACATGCTTGTTGGGAAGGCAGTAGATCTGTTCTTGTTTTTCCCACAATCGGACCCCGGAACCCATACAAGGGGTCACTATTACAATTAGACACCTTTACTTTCCAGGACATAACCTGCACCCATTTTAGGCCGAGTCAACCTGGGAGCAAAGATCAGTTTTGAAAACAAAATCAGACTCAATGCAGCTTTGAACCCACCACCTTCAATCTGGCTACTGCGGCTTTTAACAATTATAATTGATACTCCTAATCCGCCCGGGCGCATAAATGCATTTGAATATAAATGTTACAGACAGGTTCTAAGAATATCTTGGGTAAAGAAAAGAACAAATGCATCCATACTTCAAGAGCTGAATATTGAAGAGGGTTGGCTAGTAAAGACAATAAAACAAAGAAAATTGAAATATTTTGGTCACTTGAAACGTCATGGAAGTCTAGAGAGAACAATAATGGAGGGGTATATGCCTGGGAAGAGAGGAAGAGGAAGGCCAAGGAGAAGATGGGTGCAGGATGTGGCAGATGATCTCCAGATGGGTGTATCAGACGCAGGACATCTTGCTCAGGATAGGAAGGTTTTCCGGAGGGTTGTTATGGCAGCGAGGTTCGCGAGGGACATGCTACTGAAAGAATGAATCCGCCCGGCTCTCTAGCGTAGTTGGCTACACCAGATTGCACGGTGACCGGGTGACGAACTCCTTGTGGTCCGGGTTCACTCCCGGGGGTAGGCAGAAAAGCCACATTTCTCCCAGATTTACAGTATTTATCATGGAATCAAGGCCGAAAGGTTGCGATATCCATAATACTGAGCCTAAGGGCTAACAACTCATGGCTTCTGGATACTAAAACAAACAAACAAACAAACAAACAAACAATACTCCTAATCCCTGTGTGGGGTTCCAGGACCCCATTTTTGAGGGGAAAAGAATTGACCCACTGCCCCCTGAAAGCATTTCTTAGAAGGTGACTCATTAGGTGCTTGAACTTCAAAGTTGGCTGCTTGAGAGGCAAGGAACCAACATTCTGCATACAAATAAGCCAGATATGTAAAATGGGTGTGCATGCAAAACTCAGTTCTAGAACAAGGACAACAGTTATCAACAGCCATAAATTTCTGCTAGAGTTATAGCCGGGGAACGCTACGAAGAGGAAGATACTTCTAAAAATGCAGTTTAAAAAAAATGATCTTATTGTAAGAAGGGTTAGTGTCATTTCTTGACAGGTAGCACAGTTAAATTATTTGTTATTTTGATTCTTTAGGGAGATGTTTCACCGTCACTATTTGTGCATTACCCATGTTTGCTGTTTGCAACCCTCCTGTCAGTATTTGTTGATCAGAAGCCAGAATTTGGGTATCAGGATGAAGGAGAGGTAAGTACATTGTGAAGCTTTTCAAATGGTATCTTTGCATTTTAAAGTTAAGTATGAGAGTATCGACTTTATTGCGCTGGATTTGATCCCATATGGCTTGGCGTCTCTCAGAAGAACAGCCAACCACCTTCACCAAGCACAGACAATGTACCTTCAGTAACTTCTTCTTCTTTTGTTCGCTTGAAATAAATTATCTATACCTGCAATGCTGTCTCTAGTATGAACTTAACTTTCTTTTATAATTCACTTAGCTGCCCATAAAGTTTGGCTACAGCAGGTGAATGCTAAGAAGAAGATGAAAACTGGTCATGCAGCCAATCCACTAGGGATCATAAATTGGGAGGCCGGCTCAAAGACTCATAAGTTTCTCCAAAGCTTAGTTGTCAGGTCTGCTGGGTGTGGCCACATGTTGCTTCAAGCTCCTCAGGAGATCGTAGTCTTGCAAGACTTGTTCTAGAATCTGTTCTGTACACAGACACTATAAGAAAGCTGTTTAGCTCATAGCTATTTTATATTAACTTTTGCTGAGTTTGTAACGTCCAGTGTGTAAGGGAGAAATGGTGACCTGTTCTGGTTAGATGTTTGAGGAATCTTTGCAAGGTTATATGCATGCCTTGAGTGATGTTTATAATTTCACATAAACTGTTTCAGAATCCTTGCCCAGAAAAAGATGCTTCATTCTTGTCCCGTATTACTTTCTGGTGGTTTACTAGGTATGTTTTATAATTATATTTAACTGATAGATAACAGATTTAAATTCTGCAGACAAAAAAAAAAAAAAAATACATTGCACCTATGTATAAACAAAAAGGACATGTGATAAATTTGAAATTACCATGGTAATCACATTGGCTACTCTTGAACTTCTTGTGGAGAGATTACAGTACAAGGTGACAATGTGATTTGTGTATTTTAGTGAAAAGATTAATCTTTGTGCCTCATTATATGTTGATTTCAGATGTCTTGCAGAGACAATAAATACACCACACCTTTGTGTTGACCAAAAAAAAAAAAACCTGATAAATTTGAAATTGCTTTGGTAATCACTTGGCCAATCTTGAATTTCTTGTATAGAGAATATGATCTACCTTGACAATGTGATTTATGTATTTCAGTGAAAAGGATTCATTTCTGTGCTTCATTAGATGTTTATTAAATCTGTAGTAATGCATCCGAGGGGATACGGTGGAATAACCAGAAAATAAATTGTGCAATGTATTCTTTGTATCCTCATTATTTAAATTTACAAACGGACATTTTAGTTTGAAATCAACAAATTGCAGAATTTATTGCCTGGCAGATATTACTGTTTCATCAAGTGCACACTGTAGAATTAAAAATATATAATAAAAAATGAAACATTTTAGCTGACATGGACAGTAATCCCCAGATGTAACTTCTTGAATATCAGAGTTACCTCCTGTGTTACCATAGTTACTGTTTGTATCATGTATTATGTGCAGATGATATTCACATACTAAATATATCTAAAATATGTGACCAACAGTAGAAAGGAAGGATAAACTATGAGCCCTCAGTGACGTATAATGGCTCAGTCGAATGTTGATGATGAATTTTAACAATAAATTGTGAAAGTATTTTGTATCCAATCTCTTTAGTTGTTGTTTTTCTTTCTCTTATAATGATAATTTACTTTTTAAATTTCAGTTTGGTGGTCCAGGGATACAAAAGGTCACTGACACAAGCTGACCTGTGGTCACTGAATAAAGAAGACACAGCAGAATATGTCGCTCAGAAGTTTTACAAAAACTGGAATCTTAATAAAGAAGTGTAAGCTGCCACAGGTGTCTTATTTTTCTTAAGAAAAATCACTGCCCTGAAATTCTAAGGCACAGTACTAACAACTTTTCTGTGTGGTATGAAGAATTTTAAAATCAGCAAAGTCGACCCAACAAGCCACCATCCTTTGTTTAAGAATCATATTTCTAGCTCTAAATGTTAAGACAGAGAACAAGCAAGATAATTTATCAAATTTTACAAGAAAGTGCTGCTGGAACTACATTGGCCATGCACTCAGAATGGATAAGACAAGACTCCCCCATCAAGCCCTCATATGGACACTCAAAGGGAAAAGAAAATGGGGAAGACCAAGAGAGACTGTACATAGAACCATCATCAGGGAAGGTTCAATCATGAGCCTAACAAACATCTAAGACCTAAAACAGGTGGCAAGGAACTGTCAACCATGGAGAGCTGTGACCTCTGCCCTATGTGCTAGGTTCAAGAGGAAAGACTAAAGCAGACAATCACTGCTTTTGAACTTAAATTCTCCCCAGTGTGTTCTAGGACCCTAATTTTGGGGGAAAAGAATATACTGACTGTCCCATAACAAGTATGTTGTAAAAAGCAACTACTTAGGGTAGTTTTCTTTGCGGTGAGAGTACATTTGCATGAGAGGCATGGAGCAAAAGTCTGCACACAATTAAGCGAAATCTGTGAAACAGATTTGCATGCAAAACTCAAGTTCATGAACAATATACTAGTCAAGAAGTGGGTGAACAACCAGATCTTTCTGCAGGAGTCACAGCCCGTGAACACTATCAAGACAATAGGAAGAATTTAAACATTCAAGGAAAATTCTAATATACAAGGATCAAAGGCAGTAGAATACTGATTTCACAAGATCTTAACACTGAAGACACCTTGCTTATCCCAGAAATTGAAATACTTTGATCACATTAAATAGTTCACAAGTTTAGAAAACACATCCTTGGATGAATGCAAAGGCAGAAGTATGTTTAAAATAAAATCCCCCCCCCCCCCCCCTTCCCCCATTTATACACCTGTGGTGTATTAAATATTATTGTATACTCAAAGTGTCTTTCATTTCTGCCTCTAGTAACATTACATATTACTGTACTCTTACAAAGTGTCTTTCATTTCTACCTATAGTAACATTATATATTTCTGTACTCTTACAAAGTGTCTTTTATTTCTACCTACAGTAACATTATATATTACTGTACTCTTACAAAGTGTCTTTCAATTCTACCTACAGTAACATTATATATTACTGTACTCATTTCTACCTATAGTAACATTATATATTACTGTACTCTTACAAAGTGACTTTCATTTCTACCTACAGTAACATTATATATTACTGTACTCTTACAAAGTGACTTTCATTTCTACCTATAGTAACATTATATATTACTGTATTCTTACAAAGTGACTTTCATTTCTACCTACAGTAACATATATTACTGTACTCTTACAAAGTGTCTTTCATTTCTACCTACAGTAACATTATATATTACTGTACTCTTACAAAGTGACTTTCATTTCTACCTATAGTAACATTATATATTACTGTATTCTCACAAAGTGTCTTTCATTTCTACCTACAGTAACATTATATATTACTGTACTCTTACAAAGTGTCTTTCATTTCTACCTATAGTAACATTATATATTACTGTACTCTTACAAAGTGTCTTTCATTTCTACCTATAGTAACATTACATATTACTGTATTCTTACAAAGTGTCTTTCATTTCTACCTACAGTAACATTATATATTACTGTATTCTTACAAAGTGTCTTTCAGTTAATATTCCTTACGTCCTTCTTAGGACGTTATTTTTTGTTTTTTGAAGCCCCACTCTGGCTTTTGCCAGGGGCCGCAATATAGGCAGGTCATACATATGGCCAAATGTCTGAACGCGGTTTCTGGGACCTCTCCACGGTGATCCTCATCCGCATGGTGGCACTTTGTGTCATCGGGTGTTTATCGCTTGTGTGATGTCCTGGTGGGGTAAAAAGCCAATCCAGCCAAGTGTCTTTCATTTCTACCTACAGTAACATTATATATTACTGTATTCTTACAAAGTGTCTTTCATTTCTACCTATAGTAACATTACATATTACTGTATTCTTACAAAGTGTCTTTCATTTCTACCTACAGTAACATTATATATTACTGTATTCTTACAAAGTGTCTTTCATTTCTACCTACAGTAACATTATATATTACTGTATTCTTACAAAGTGTCTTTCATTTCTACCTACAGTAACATTATATATTACTGTACTCTTACAAAGTGTCTTTCATTTCTACCTACAGTAACATTATATATTACTGTACTCTTACAAAGTGACTTTCATTTCTACCTATAGTAACATTATATATTACTGCATTCTCACAAAGTGTCTTTTATTTCTACCTACAGTAACATTATATATTACTGTACTCTTACAAAGTGACTTTCATTTCTACCTATAGTAACATTATTTATTACTGTACTCTCACAAAGTGTCTTTCATTTCTACCTACAGTAACATTATATATTACTGTACTCTTATAAATTGTCTTCAATTACTGTTCATCTGTTATTTTAGTATGTTTATGTCTAGTTATATGGTATTTTGTGTGTGTTGTGTCTGTATGTTTTGTAAATGTATTGTATATGCCAGTGTGAATTCCTGTGTATGTTTTGTTATTTTGTGTCTGTGTATATGTTGTGTCTGTGTGTGTTGTGTCTGTGTGTATATGTTATATCTGTGAGTGTGTTTATGTTGTGGCAGTGTGTATGCCTCTGTTGTGTAAGGGGTGTTTGTGTCTGTACATCTTCCTTGCTGTGGGTCTGCATTGTGTGTGTATTTCTGCATGTAAATGTGAAGGTATGGCTTTGCTATCCATGCTTTCATATTTTCACTCTACATTCATACTATGAATTTTGATATATGAACCCAGTTTGCTTCAGAGGGCCAAATGTAGGACTAGCCTGCGCGCCTAGTTTGTAACCCTTTGAAAATAAAGATTTTTTTTAATGCCTGACATAGTATACTTTCTTTTCTAGTCCGGTTCATGCTGTTGCCAATGGGGGTGCTAATGAGACAAGTTTCATCTTCAAGGAGGGAAGTGCTATTCTGGCAACTTACAACCCTGGTGCCGAAGAAGCCAAATCTCCAAAACGTAATTTATTTCCAGCTTTGGTTAGGACGTACTTTTGGTTCTTTCTACAAGCGGGGCTGTTTAAACTGTTTCAAGACATCCTGACCTTTGTCAATCCCCAGTTGTTGAAGTAAGTATACAATAATAATAAATAACAATTAAACCTTCATTACAGTGTATTCATTGTTAGCTTTAAGAATACTATGTAGTGAGGCCCTAATCTCTCCCATGGTGTGACTCTCTTACAACTATCTAATAGCCACTAGAACAGTATTTTTCTAAATCATCTATTACAGGAATTATAATAAATGTTGAGGATTATATTTTGAGGCGATTTCACCTTCTAAGCTAGAGAGTTACGCGTTTAAAATAAAAGGAGGTAATTAAGATTATATGTCTGCATTCCCTGCAGGGGTTTAGTGGCCCCATTTTGGGAGGAAAAAAGAATAGACCCCCTGCCCCCCTCCCCCACCAGTGAGCATATCATGAAAGATGACTAATTACTGGTTTGCTGAAATTGAATGTGTTGGGCTAAAAGGGGCAAATATCTAAGCTTAGCTGTAAACCACAATACATGTTAGATTTATTTATGGCAATGGCAGCTTTCATATGGATGCTCCAGGGCATTTTTTTTAGGCATAAGGCATGTCTTCTGTATATCATCATTACACATCCTATTGTATGCTGCAATTGGTAGTGGGATGTTTGAACCTTTTAAAACTTAACTGTTTACCACAATAAAATGTGCCGATCACTGTTGTCTTCTTCTTCTTATTCATTGTCCGTCTGAGTGATGTAATATGTTGTATGCCTGTTTACAGCATAACTGATATTTGGGCCTTTCAGCCGACACATCTGACTTCAGTGCACATTCATAATCCAGGTTAGCTTTCCCGGCTAGCTTCATCGGACATTTGAAGCCTCGTATGTGTGGTGACTTCATCGTCCCCTGATCTATAGATGTTGTCCCTCAGGGACCTGTCCAGGGCAGTTATGTGCAGATTAGTCGATCCTCAAGTTCCTTTATTTCTTTAATTTCAGTTAGCCACATTCAGCCTCTGACTAGGGAGCTAACCTCATCCTTGTCAATATCAGTGATAATTACGGCAACAAGGGAAAGCAGGGGCCGACCATTGGCATTTCCTGCCATCCAAGGAGGCCCTCATAAATGCAGAGCTGATACTTGGTTCGCTTCTTCTTTCATTCGCCAGGCGAGCACCATATCGTTTTGCTGATTTAGACATATTTCCATGGCGTGTGTGCGTGGCATCCTGATTGCTGTGGTGTGCCTCTTGGCTGGTTGCCTCCGACTTCAGCACTTTGTTTTGCTAGGGTAGACTGTGATCATACTCGAGGAGAGTAGGTTCATCCATTCGTCTTTCGCCTTTACTTCGTTTGTTGTCCCATCCAGTTTCCTGCTGGGGGTTGAGACCCCAACCTTCAACTGGATTGCTGGGGAGAACAGGGTCCACCACGTGAAGGTGAGGTAGGCTTGAGCAAGAGAGGCTAATAGACATTAAGAGTCTTGTATTGCGCATCATTGCTCCATTAGGACCCCGGTGCTCTTGATACTAAATTTACCTAAGGAATCATCACAGCCTGCTTGATCTCACATCTGTATATTCAACCATTCACTCATCACAGGTAGCACATTTTGGGATCCTCAGCAAAAAGTCTGCAGACCTGAGACGCCGATTCCCTGCGCAAATAGGCATCTCACTTCCTCAGCGTGTCTTTATGGCAATAACAGCTTTCACCTGGATGCTCCAGGGCACTTTTTGAGGCATTTATGGGAACCATGCATCAGGCATGACTTCTATGTATCATCATTACACCGTATTGTATGCTGCAATGGGTAGTGGATGTTTGAATCTTTTGTGTCTTATACTAAGCTCTTTGAGGAAAGGACATATGATCCTTTGCTGTCCTACAGTATGACACTTAATAGACAGATATTTGAACCTAAACAGCCATACAGTAGGAGTCTCAGTCGACAGATGTTTGAACCAAGGTTTGTCATGTACAGTGGGACTTTGGGACGACAACGTTTCAACCAGGATTTGTCATCCAGACATTTGAACCTGAGTTTGTCATTTATAAGGGTTTACGGCAAACAGACTTCACTCATGTTCCAATCAGTTTTTCATGTACATTATCATTAGTGGACAGGACTTTTGCTGGAGTGTTTCTAAACACAATATCTTAGAGGGCCTCGACTCCGAGATCCCTCCCTGCCAACACCATATAGGCTGATATAGGCCATCATTATCTGCAGTGTATGACAAGGATGTATGGCAGGCGTCTTGCATGAGGATCCATAAAACCAGCACAGAACCTACTGGTGTCCGAGGTGAGGTACTGGGTATCCCCTTATATACACCACATTGGTCCTAACTTTCACTTCACACCTGTAAATGAATTTATTATGCCAGTCACCCCTTTTAAAGGTGAATACAGAAGAAGATATGGAAGATATGCTTACTTTTGTTTTTGTTTTCCTATTTTTCTTAATACAAATGGGAACCATGAAGGCTCAGTAGTTTGATGCGTTCCTGCTTGACCAAAGGTCTTATATTTGAATCTGCACATATTAGGTTGTGTTGACTGGTGCCAGGGTCAATGATGCAAATCCCATATAATGTGAATTTGAGCGCCACACCTTTGGACTGGCGAGTAAGCATCTAGCCAATACTATCATGGCATCATGTTGGGAAATGAGCAGGCAGATAGACTGGCCAGTTCTGCACCACTTGTGGTGAACTGATGTATAACAAGCTAGATGTTGAAAGGGCACTCTGGAAGCGAGTGAACAGTGTGGAAGCGCAAATAGATGATTGTGGTCTGAGGAGAATGACGCTATGAAGAGTTGCCAGGGGATCTGGCCGATGCTCGACACTCAGATGAAAGGCGAGACAGATATACAATCAGACAGCTACAGGTACCATCGGAATTGGAACTCTTCGTTTGCTGCTGAAGATGGGAGAGGAGCACTTGTGGGTGTGTCTCGAGTGCTATGTTGTCAATTTTTAATTCAACATTCAACTTTCAATATTACCATGGCACAAAATTTTAAGTAAAATTTAAAATAAAAATAAAAATGAAAAGGTCATTTTCATCCCAAAGGTAACATCTGACATATGAGACAAGGCGACCAGACTTGTATGTTTATAGACCAGGCAGCACTTGATGAGTGCTATGGTTAGCATCATGCTGGCAACTTTCTGCCAAAAAAATAAAACACTAAACAAACTACCATTACTGCCTGAATTGATCACTTTACTGTGTAAGCTGGTGGTCTTTGAACCTAAGGATTTAGAGACCCATGGCTAGTGATGTCATCATCAATTGCAGGTTAGGCTTTTTTTTCTTTTAGCATGATGTAAATTTGTTCCTGTGTTTATGAGTTCTAAATGTTTCTGTTTTGCCCGCAGGCTTCTGATTCAGTTTACCAGCTCCAGCGAGTACACCTGGCGTGGTTATTTCTACACAACTCTGCTGCTGGTTGTTGCCTTGGTGCAGTCTATTTTGCTTCACCAGTACTTCCACTGCACATTCTTGCTGGGAATGAGAATTAGGTCGACAATCATCGCTGTGGTCTACAGAAAGGTGAACTGCTTATTTTGACATTATGGATGACTTCTTTGTGCATTTAATACATAGCAGTAGTGGGAGCCTAGAATCATCATCAGAGGAGGCTCAAACAAGGGCCTAATAAGCATCCAAGACTTAAAACATATGGCAATAAACCTCCAGATGAGGAGAGCTATAACCTTTGCCCTATGCGCCACCCTAGGCTCAAGAGGCAAGACTGACTGACTAAGTAGTGGGAGCCACCATGGTGTTGCAGCTAGATGCTTGCCTGTGGATCCAAAGGTTGTGGGTTCAAATCCAAATGGAGCTGGATTATTTTTCAAGCATTGCCTTGGCTCTCAGATCAAAACAGCAAATGGGTATCAGGTAATGTCTTGGAAAGTAAAAGCTGCCGGCCTGACATTAACTATATCGTCCACTAAGTGCCAATTTGTCTTCACAATATAGATCTAGCACTATATGCCCAATACACCTGATGGCGTAGAAACTGGTCCATTACTGCTTACTAAATAGTAGTAGTCATCAGCATGATTGTACTGTTGTGTCATTGTGTGTCACCTAGTAGTAGTAGTCATCATCATGATTGTACTGTTGTGTCATTATGTGTCACCTAGTAGTAGTAGTCATCAGCATGATTGTACTGTTGTGTCATTGTGTGTCACCTAGTAGTAGTAGTCATCAGCATGATTGTACTGTTGTGTCATTGTGTGTCACATAGTAGTAGTAGTCATCAGCATGATTGTACTGTTGTGTCATTATGTGTCACCTAGTAGTTGTAGTCATAAGCATGATTGTACTGTTGTGTCATTGTGTGTCACATAGTAGTAGTAGTCATCAGCATGATTGTACTGTTATGTCATTGTGTGTCACATAGTAGTAGTAGTCATTATCGTGATTGTACTGTTGTGTCATTGTGTGTCACAAAGTAGTAGTAGTCATCACCATGATTGTACCGTTGTGTCATTATGTGTCACATAGTAGTTGTAGTCATCAGCATGATTGTACTGTTGTGTCATTATGTGTCACATAGTAGTAGTAGTCATCAGCATGATTGTACTGTTGTGTCATTATGTGTCACATAGTAGTAGTAGTCATCAGCATGATTGTACTGTTGTGTCATTATGTGTCACATAGTAGTAGTAGTCATCAGCATGATTGTACCGTTGTGTCATTATGTGTCACATAGTAGTAGTAGTCATCAGCATGATTGTACTGTTGTGTCATTATGTGTCACATAGTAGTAGTAGTCATCAGCATGATTGTACTGTTGTGTCATTATGTGTCACATAGTAGTAGTAGTCATCAGCATGATTGTACTGTTGTGTCATTATGTGTCACATAGTAGTAGTAGTCATCAGCATGATTGTACTGTTGTGTCATTATGTGTCACATAGTAGTAGTAGTCATCAGCATGATTGTACTGTTGTGTCATTATGTGTCACATAGTAGTAGTAGTCATCAGCATGATTGTACTGTTGTGTCATTATGTGTCACCTAGTAGTTGTAGTAATTTAAACAACAGTATCCTATTCAACAGATTGGGTTATAATTAGGATTTATTGTTTTTTTTTTTCATTTCAGTAATGGATATTTACGCCTGTCAGTTATGTTTGGTAATTCAATATTGCATACCTTAATTATTAATGGTATAAGATTGTAGAAGTATAGATTGTCAGGTGTAAAATACTTTAAGTGTACTTTCAAAGAATTATGGTAATTATTTTCTGTAGTCTCCCTGTGTGGCTTCCAGGGCCCTATTGAAGGGAAAACAAGAATAGACCCACTGCCTACCCAAAAGCATTTCGTAAGAATTGGGAGCCTCCTTCGAAGTCAGAGTGCATCTGCCTGAGAGGCAAGGAACCAGCAGTCTGCATATAAATCAGTCAGATTTGTGAAACGGATGCACATGCAACACTCAGGTTCTTGAACAGGACTGCAGTCCGGAAGTGGATGAACAACCAGACCTTTTTGCCAGAGTTAACTGCTGGTCAACGTGAAGAAGAAGAATATGGTGTAGTCCGTCTTTGCCGATATTTAAACTGATGTGTGATACCATCATCATCATCATTGTCATCAGTTTTTGAGACAAAATAAAAATAAAAAATTGTCATGTTCAATCAGCATCCCTGAAGGGGGAGCTTTAGGTTATAATTGTGACGAGGTTATGTGCACCATATAAAATGGCTTAGCATTGCATGCCACCAAAAGCCGTGAAAAGAACTCAGCGTTGTTGCGATCAAGGGAGACAAACCCAAATACTATCCTGACCAGCGGCAAAGTCATCTGCCAGCCAGCCAGTTGGTGACCTGGTCACCGATCATGTGGCATATCAATATTGTCTCTTAAGATATATTAACACCCTATTTGCTAACCACTGTTCTTGTGATGTACTGTTGAATCCTTTCCCGTCGTACACATTTAATATGTGTGCATGCTGAGACTGCAGCATATTTCAGTCTGTGCACAGGGGACAATGATGGACATTCTGTGCGGTGCTTTGCTAACATGGTAATGGAGCTCCATCTGTCATGAAGTTGGAACTGCAACAAACTAGTTAACTTTTCCTTAATTTTTTAAATATCTTTTTTTTGGTTTGTTTGTTGGTTAATTGGGGGGGGGGGGGGGGGGGGGCTGGGGGAACTACAGTATTGTAGGAGCCAGATGCTCACCTGCAAGCCTGAAAGTCTTGGGTTTAAATCTGCACTGAATTAATTTAGGCAACAAAAACAATTTTGCTCCCAGGTTAACAGATCATATTGATCATAACCTTTAGATTCCTGCATATATTCTGTATCATTCAGTTTTGACTTGGGTTATCCTCACAGCACCCCACATACTTCATTAGGTGCTCAGATCCCGCGCCCCCCCCCCCCCCTTCCACTCCGGAACATATACATCAGTGTTCCACAGTTTTCTTTTTAATTTTAATTTTTTTTTAAATCCAGAAACCATGACTTGTAAACCCTTTAGTTCGTTACTATGGATATCACAACTCCTCATCCTTAATTCATTGATAGATAATGTAAATCTAGGAAAATATTTGGCTTTTCCGCCTACCCCTGAGCGTGAACTGGGACCACAAGGAGTTTGTCATCCAGTCACCACGTAGCTGGTTTAACCAACTTAGCTAGTGTGCCAGGTATTTTCCCCACAGCTAATAGCATCAGCCTGTTTACCTTGCATCAGATTTCACCCCTGGAAGAAAGCTGACACACTGCCAAGAGATTTGATTTAATTTGATTTGATTCAAGAACCGACATCACAGCACTCGGGGCATTCCCATAAGCGCTCTGTCCCCATCTTCAGCAGCCAGCAAAGAGTTCCAATACTAATGGTGCCAGTAGCTTTCTGATTAAACCTCCGTCTTGCCTTTCCTCTGAGCCTCAAGCTTCTGCCAGAACCTCTCATCACCCCCATCTGCATCAATCTCACCAGACTGGTGATCCATCTGCTCCTCCAAATTGTACACACTCTCCCACAAGGCACTAACCACGTCTGCCCTATCATGTAGCAGTATTCCACCAAGTTGTGCAGTGCCAGCCAGTCTGTCCGCCTGTTCATTTCCTAACACACTGGTGAAAAAATCAAGACAATACTCCTCACTCGTGTCCTCCGCAGCGAAGCATACCACTCTACACGAACCATACCTGTTCTGATCTTCCTCAGCATGCTTTCTGAATCAGTTACAATTATGATGTGTGTGTGTGTGTGTGTGTGTCATGTTTTCTAGCCAGCGGAAACCTGCAGTGACCGCCTTCACCTCCATTCTTAAGCTGGATGTTGTGTTATCATATGCATGCCAAGAGAAAGACCTTTTTTTTTTTTTGACTGCCAAGGGAAAGACCTTCAAATGGTCCACAGTCCAATTAAACTTAGAATCTCACATAAAAAAAGGTATGTTTGATTATCTGGATGTTTCTTTTGATTATGTCAACGGATCTATATCATGACACATGGCTGTAACCCATAAGTGCTCCGTTCTACTTCTAACTCAAGCCTGAGTCTGAAGAATCTCAGCGCAGTGCATGAACTTTATTGTACCGGCGAGGATCCTGAAATACTTTGGGTAGATTTTTAACTCTAAATTTTGTACGTGCAGCACCTTAAGGCTACTCTTTTCGATTTCCAACTAGCAGGGGATTTTTTTTTAACGCATGCAAGAATACACACGGGCGTCCGATCTTACTACCCAGAGACCAGGGAAAAATTGCTAGAAGTCCATGTGGAAAAATCCCAGCATTCACTGGGGCTAGAAACCGCGACCTCCAGCACTTGAGGCGGAAACCATACCTCAAGACCACTCAGCCCCCCTGTAAATCTGTGTAGGTTCTAGGGGAAAAAAAGAATACCTCTACTTCTCTCTCCCCCTCCCCCCCCCCCCTTTTCCCCCACAAGAATGTTGTGAAAGTCTACTAATTATGGGTGTTTCCTTAGAAGTCAGAGTGCATCTGCCTGAGAAGCAAGGAACCAACAGTCTGCATATAATAAAGCAAGACCTGTAAATCGGATATGCATGCACAACTCAAGTTCTGGAACAAAACTAGAGTCTAGAAGTGGATAAACAGCCAGAACTTTCCACCTGAGTTAACAGACAGCAAATATAAAAAAAAAAAAAAAAGAATTATCTTGATATGATGCTAAATATTACAATTATTCATTGCAGACTCTAAGGCTATCAAACTCGGCCAAGAAGACCTCAACTGTCGGAGAGATAGTTAATCTGATGTCTGTGGACGCACAGCGTTTTATGGACCTAACCACTTACATTCACACAATTTGGTCAGGTCCGCTGCAGATTTGTCTGGCTCTGTATTTTCTGTGGCAAACCCTGGGTCCGTCTGCTCTGGCTGGTATAGCAGTGATGGTTCTACTCATCCCCATCAATGCAGTCATAGCCCATAAATCAAGGAAATATCAGGTAACACTGAACTTACAGTTACCTGCAGACATTCATTTAAAACACTCATTTATTAAGTTTACAGCATTTAGATAAGACAATTACATGTCTGCAGCATTTAGACATAACATTTATCTAGTTTATAGCATTTACATAAGACAGTTATCTAGTTTATAGCATTTACATAAGACAGTTATCTAGTTTATAGCATTTACATAAGACAGTTATCTAGTTTATAGCATTTACATAAGACAGTTATCTAGTTTATAGCATTTACATAAGACAGTTATCTAGTTTATAGCATTTACATAAGACAGTTATCTAGTTTATAGCATTTACATAAGACAGTTATCTAGTTTATAGCATTTACATAAGACAGTTATCTAGTTTATAGCATTTACATAAGACAGTTATCTAGTTTAAAGCATTTACATAAGATACTCTGTCATCAAATTAATAGCATTTACACATTTATCATGGCAGTTTACAAGACAACATAAAATGTATAGCATACATAAAAGACACTAAAGTCTTCCAAATTATAGCATTTATACAACAAGACTCAGTTATCAGATTTATAATATTTACACAAAACACTAAGTCATAAAATTCACAGATTTTTGTGTGTGCTGGGGCATTGCCTACATCTTTTCTTTGATTATCAAAAAATTTTGATTTTCAGATAGATACTTAATAAATAGATTGACATTCAAGGAGACTTCTTTTAGCTTTATAATAGCTGACAATTTCAATATGTGTCACAAAATAACAGCTAAGAACGTTAACTAAACATTACTATTGGGATTTTGACTAATCTGTAAAAAAGTTGGATAAAAATGTTAATATCTAAATTAGTGGGTATCTCTTGAAATTTAGATATTTGCCTGGTGTTGTGAAGTTCTTCTTCTTCTTCAGCATTCCGATCCCTTGAGGTTCATTGCTGCAGATATCATTCGCCTCCATTCATCTCTCTGGTTGGCTTTTGTGAAGTTGTTAGGTTTAAATCTGCAATAGCCAAATTTTTTTTTTTAAAGTTGTTTTTGGCTCTCTGGTAAACCTGGCATAAATAGATACCAGGAAATGTTTTGGGAAGTAAAGTTGGCAGGCATGCTGTTGATCCCATGACCCATTGATTGCTGATTGGTCTATAAAAACTATGGGTGTAGTGTCAAATACCTGATGTGGTGCTGGCATAAAAAAGGGTCTTTTACTGAACTGGATTTGGATCTTATGGAATTTGCCGTTAGTTTCGTGCAGATTTGATTATTCACAGTCAGCTCTTGGTGTTTTTTATATTTATCATCAGTCACAATGTCCTTTACAGAACGTCGCTCTTGCCGCGGCACAAATGAAAGTCTAGCTTTCTCTGGCCAATTCTTCAGCCATGTATGCTTATAGAGCCAATGAACCATCAGTGTCTTGTTTCCACATTCTCAAAGGTCTGCCTTTAGCTCATTTTCCAGAAGTTGTGCCAAATATGTAATTGTACATGTGTGTCTATATATATATGTATTTATATATACATGTGTGTGTGGGTGTGTATAGTGCATATCAGCCCCTCCCCACCAACCCTCACTAGGTATTAGAGTACTGTTCCAAGCCACTTGTTTTGGTGCAATTAACATTTCTTAGCCAACATAATTGTCACAAAGAAATCAGGCCACAGTTATAACCAATACGGCTCACAGTAGGTTAAATGTCGTAGATTTTATGTGTTTTGTTTTCCATAAATGGATGGATCCATAACCACTCTCTCCAGGCCACTATTTTATTGTTTACCTTATAATTAATTCCTGTTATTCATTGAAACACACTTTAGTCAAATGCTGATGTTTATTTCTTAATTGATGGTAAATTCACAATAAATATTGACTTTTTCTCTCTCCATTTCTGATGTATTTTTTACATCTGAATGGTCCAGACTATTCAAATGAAACTAAAAGATTCAAGAATCAAATTGATGAATGAGATTTTAAATGGTATCAAGGTAAGTGATTTTGCACTCATATGAAGTGAATGTTTGTATAAGAAAGTTTTGCAGCATCAGGTTCGTTGTTGTATCTGGCAAAATTTCTTTTTGCAAAATACAAACATATTCTGTGGCAGCCAGGGCCTTATTTATGCAACATGTGTAGCTTCACAGGGCTGCAAAATTTTAGGGCGGCAAAATTCCAGTGCTTTTTTGGTAGTCTGAAAGTGATTAACAAGTAGGAGGACAACACCAGGAGATGGACAGACAACAGTCAGAGAGAGTGTACAACCAGGATAAGAGACAGAGCAATTTGGAGATCCGTTGCAGCCAACCTTGACGGTGGCGACCGCACCTAATTGATTGATTGAACAATGCTGAAGTTTAGCTGAGGGAAAAGAGGGAGTAAAGCCCCAGTTTTCCTTGTTAATGACGGCAAAATAGATCACAACTCACATCTGTCTTCGCCACAGAAAAAAAAGAAGAATGTTTTATGTGATATTATTTAAAGTAAATAATGTTACATGCAATTTTTCAATATCTTCCACATTCATTTTTTGCACAGGTTTTAAAGCTTTACGCTTGGGAAGGTTCTTTCCAGGAGAAAGTGCTTGATATTCGCAATCAGGAATTAGTGGTGCTCCGGAAGATGGCAATACTGAATGCACTGGCAGTGTTTTTCTGGACCTGTGCTCCTGTTCTGGTGAGTTACTTTAACTCTTTCAAGACCAGATAACTAACTGTGTATTTACTTGTTATTATTTTAATGATATTCTTTTCTTATTTGTATTGTGCTGGTACACTAACTCATTTTTCTTCTTCTTTGTGTTCAGTGGCTGGAAACTCTGGCAGAAAGTTCTGGTTGTTTATCCACTTCTGGATTTCATTTGTCATTTATTATTGTTATTTTATTTCATTCATTTATGAATGAAAGCTCACAGATGACATAGGGTTAGATAAAATATGTAAGAATGTGCGAATGTTAAATTAGGTATAGATCCAATAAGGTGAGACATACAAGAGGAAGAAAATGACTTGTGTATAATCAGTTCATGGCTCATTTTAAAAATCATCTTCATCGCACATCAGACATGACCATAAGTGCTCTGATCTCTTCCTGGGTATGTCTGCAAGTGTTTTTAGGCTTACAACTCCCAGTGTATAAAGTGTGCTACTGCAATAGTTAGCATCTACACTCTAAAACATTTACTGCAGAAGACGAAATATCTTTGGGTATGTTATTTGTACTTTGATGTCAATTATTTAATCAGTAATGAAATCAAATATTGTTTCTTTCATTAAACAGGTTTCTTTGACTACATTTGGGGTGTTTGTACTTTCATCCCCTGACAATGTACTGGATGCAGAAAAAGCATTTGTGTCGTTGGCCTTGTTCAACATTTTACGTTTCCCTTTGTCCATGGTGCCCAATGTGATTACCAGTGTGGTGCAGGTATTGTATACTTTTTAAAAATTAGTACACTTGTAGTGAGGAAAAGAAGAGTTAACATCTTCTTCTTCTTCTTCTTTATTTCCCCTTTTATCACGTCAGGTGTTGAGAGAGCTACCAGGTTCTGCTTCTTGTTTATCTGGCTGCCTCGACCATACACACATCCTGTTGTTGTAGGGCTTCTCTGATGTTATTTTTCCATCTTGTTCTTGGTCCTTCTTATACTCTTCGTCCTTCTCCTCTTTTGATGTATGTCTTGTATGGTATGACGTTATAAGGCATTCTCTCTAAGCAGGCAAACCATTTCATTTGTTGTCTTTGTATATGAATTAGAATTGGTTCCATGCCAACTTTTTCTCTTGTGATCTTTCCTGATTTTATCTCTTCTAGTCGCTCTTGAATCTCTTCTCAGACATCTCATTTCTATGGCTACTAATTTTCTTTTCAAAAACTCATGTTATTTAAAGGTTGTTAAGTAACATCTGGGTTAATATTCAAAATTACAACATTCACAACAAGCCCATATTAGCTCCATCTTCCCCCTCAGTAGCCTTCATACTGATGATACCTATTTTCATTTGGTTAACTACTCGTCTTGCCATTGCTCCGAGTCTGAAATGGCGCATGATTTTTAACATTAGTCACACAGACAGTGTCTTCTCTATGTCTTCACACTGTTACGGGGTTGTAGCCTAACGTTGTAGTTTTCTATTTCATTGTTTTGTTTGTTTGTTGGTGACTCTGTGTCTTCTTCTTTTCCCAACACATTTTGTATGCACTTTATCTCACATTTTTGTGTAATTTTGTTTGTTTTTCTAGAATTGTCCACATCTAGCATTGATACCACAACATTGGTATGAAGCATATTCAAACCGGAAAACAAGAAGAAGAGGTGCATTTATCAGTTGCTACCATAAATAAATACCTGTTTGAAAAACGTTTGCTGCCGTACCAAATTCCTGGCCTCAGTAATTTGTATGCAGTTGGTATCTGCAATATCTGTGTCCAGTGTTGTGTTGGTAATTCCTGGCCTCAGTCATTTTCATGCAGTTAGTATCTGCAATATCTGTGTCCAGTTTTGTACTGGTAAACTTTTGCCTCTTCTTCCAGAAGCCTTGACCTCCTTTAGTGTGCTTTCTGACCCTTTGCAGCATTAAAAATGGCCAGAGTATTTCAGTTTCCAAGAAATTATGTTCCACTTGCCCCAGATAACACCTCACAATATTGTGAGGTACTTATCGCAGACATCAGAAGGAGACAGTCATCATTTTTTTGGCCATGTTATAAGAAGAGGGAAAATATAACATGTTGTGACCACTGGAAAGATTTGTGGAAGGAGGGATAGAGGAAGACAACGAGAGAAGATGCTTGACAGTCTTGTTGCATGGCATGGAGGTGTGTCGGCACACGAACTGATACATGCTGCAGGAGATCGCAGATTATGGAGAGGCATGATCGCCCACACCAGTTGGCAAGACACCTGATGATGCAGGGCCTACTCTACTTCTTAATATTCATGAGCTGTAAACTCTGGTGGAAAGTTCTGATTGTTCGTCCACGCCTGGACTTTAGTCTTGTTTCAAAACCTGAGTGTTGCATGCACATCAATTTTAAAGATATGGCTTACTTGCATGCCTCTCAGGCAGGTGTTGAGCGACTTCAAATAAAACCCCAAGTTAGTCATCTCTCATGACATGCTTGTTGTCAGGGCAGTGAGCAAGGCCTACTCATAATAGACTTTTATGACATCATCTTTATCAGTTTCCACTTTTGGCATTAAGTGTTGTGGAAAGAAAATTTTTTCGATCCAATGCTGGATGGCTAGCAATGGCTATTGTCATTCTGTATTGACGTAGAAGCTTATTAGTTTAATAGTCTATTTTCTCTTAGGATTACATCTTGCTTTCACATCAGATCTGGGGTTGTTAGTTGCTCTGGTTCCAGTCTACAAAGATTACTAAACCATATGATCTTCTAATTCCCAATGAATTTGCTGCATGGTGTTGTCTCCAGAGTCTGCCTAATGGTATTATTTCTCACTTTGTCTCAGATGATTAAGTTGGTGGCTTTCTTCAGGCATCTCATTTCACAGGTGTTAATATTACATAGGTTAGCCTTGGATAATGTCCATGTCTAGTACTGGTGTCGGTTCTGTGGCTAAGTTGATGCGAGCGCTTCATAAGGCCGGGATGCCGGGTTCGATCCCAGCTGTGGGCCATGCACCTTGCGTTGGTTTTGACAGTGGTATCAAGAAAGCTGACCGTCCAGAAAGCAATGGCAAGCTACTGCCTAGAGAAACCTCACAACAGCCAGGGGCTGTTGAGGTTGGTTCTGTAATGTCCTGTAAAGGATACTTAACTAACCTAACCTAGTACTGGTAGCAAGGTGCTGGTATGAAAAAGCTGTGTATAATTTATGTCTTTATGCTCATACTTATGTTTGGATGTCTTAATATTAGCATCAACTTAATACTATACTGAGTACAATTTATGATAATTTTAATTAGTATAACATTTTATGTTGTCATGAATAATTTTTAATGTCTTGTCAAAAACACCATTATTTTTTCTAGACGAACGTGTCACTGCAGAGGATACAGAAGTTTCTGGACAATCCAGAACTAGATCCTGATTGTGTGGAGAGACAAGAATATGGCAGTACGTTTGCTAAATGTGAAAGTTTCTCTTTAAGTAAACAAGGTTGTGTTACGTAAAGTTTTTCAAAGAAATAGGACATAGGAGACATAAAAAAAAATATATAAAAAACTCTTTTTGCATGCCTTCAGGTGTATTGGGCATATAGGGCTAGACCTATATTTTATAGACCAGTTGGCACTTGGTGGGTGATCTCGTCAACATCATGCCTCACGCCTTTACTTCTCAGAACTGCCCCTGGTACCCACTCAAGGCTGAGTCGACCTGGATGCCAAGATCATTTTTGAAGAAAGTTCAGTCCTGTCAGGACACGAACACATGACCTTTTGATCCATGGGTGAGTGTCTAGCGGCTACACCACTGTGGCTTCCTTAGGAGACATGGCTAGTAGCTAAATAGATGTCAGTTAATACAAAACATACTATGACTAGAAAACCCAACAGAGGAAAAGGAAAAGATGCACACAATCAGACGTTTCAGACAGTCTTTATCAACAACAAAAAACAACAGTTGCTACCTACTTTAAAATTGTAACATACTAAGAAGAGTTGGTGTGAGACTGGTTACCTTATTCTTTAGAAAACTCTAGCTCCCTTGTGGCACCAGCATTGAATGTTTTGAGGATAAGAAAGAATAGACCCGCTGCTACTTAACACGGGTGTCATAAAATGCGGCGCTGATTAAGGATATGGTGAAATCAAACATGTGCCAAAAGGCCGCAACACCACAGCTCAGCTGTAACCACAACACAGTGTGCCAGCCACCCTTTTAACACACTGACAACTAAGCCCATTAACCCTTGTACTTTCCCAGACACCACACATTTTACTGTCTACTACAAATGATGTACCTTCACAACTATTTGACATAGACTCATAATATTTCGTATTTTTGCACCAGATTAAATTGAGAACAAATTTCAAAAATAAAAACTGCATAATCTTGTTTGACATCATCATGTGGCTGTTCATTGGTACAAAAAAGGCAACTGAAAATTTTTTTTTTTCTGACAGCAAAATAGACTAACAGACATGCCATTGCTTCACAACTGTTTTTTTAAAACTCATAATATTTTGCATATTTGCACCAAATTGAAAGAAGAACAATTTCAAGAGTAAAAAATTGTGTAATCTTGTTGTATATCATCATATTATAGCTGTAGATTGGTGCAAAAAATGGTAAAGAACATTTTTTTTGGACAGCAGATTCTCTCCAGGCCATAATAGTCTTTTTTCTCTACTGATTCCGTTACGTGTTCCCATAGGGCCTTGACCACATCTGCCTTGTCATGTATCACTTCACTGCCCAGTGGTGCAGATCCAGCCTGTCTATCTGCCTGTTCATAACCCTATACACCAGCATGGCCTGGAGTAAAGATTCAAAGTATACTCACTGCCCATGACCTTTCCAGTGAAGCTTGCTTTTTTTCAAAAATATAAGTACATTAACACTAAGTAACACATTCATTTTTGTAATAAGTTATTCCCACGAAGAGGCTTTGCAGGATTTAGGTAAATAGTGTGGGTTTTCTTGTTGAAAACAGTTTAGCCCATGATAAGAAGTTCCATTATCTTTGATTAGTCAGATCAGACAGTGTATATATGTGTAACTTCATTAATTTTAATGTTCAGATACAGACTGCTATTTGTTAGTATTTTATTCAAATGCTATTTATCCAAGAAGAAGAAACAGACTAACATTCTAAACAAAAAATCTGAATATTGTGAGTGAGTGAACTTCAACCCCACCAGAACATCCACCAAGCAAGAAACACCCGGGGACACAAAGTGAAACCATGCAGATGAGGATCACCTGGGGAGAGGTCCCAGAAACCCCATTCAGCTCATAGGTTGGGTTGTATTAGGGCCCCCAGCAGCAGCCATGGTGGGGTTTTAAAACAGCAACAAAATAAATCCAACATTGGGATGATGAATAATCAGTCTGAATATTGAAGCAAACTGGTTTATAAGCAGCAAAATGTCTTGGAAGCTGAAACGCTTCAACTATTTTTTAATCTGCTAATTAAACATGCAGCTCCAGAAATTTGTGTCTACAAGGTATACTACACCCAGCTGCAAGAAAATCTTCACCTTAATGTATATTTTAAAGTGACATATTACAGAAATAGTTAAACTGCACCTTAGCATTTCAATCAGGAATGCAAACACACCCGTATGATTGTCTCTTCATGCTATAACACTTTTCCTAACAACACTTTACAGAATATGGTGTGCGTGTGGAGAATGGCACTTTTGAGTGGGAGGAAGGACACCCCACCCTGTCTAAGTAAGTTGCCAGTTAAAAAATTGGAAATTAATAGGAGAATAAGTAGTTAGTTAGTTAATCGACAAATTATTCTCAGTTCACCACGGACAAGTCCATAAGCACTCGGATCCCATCTTCAGTATATCCCTTAGAGTATGGTGACTGATAACACCATAAACTCAAATCTGCGGCATGCTGTTGAAAATATTTCCAAGCTGGTTTTAGCTCAAATGCATAAAACTCTGTACCACAGGCAAAAATCTATAAAAAAAAAAAAAAAAAAAACTACTTCCTTTGTTACCTTTGCATCGCACTAACTATAAACAACTCACAAATTCCATTATCTTTATGTATAATTAGTGGCAATTAGAAAACCAAACAATGACCACTGCCATCTTGCCCTGCAAGTCAGGCAAAATAAGTAGTAGTAATTTAATAAATAATCTCCAATTAAGCAAATTTTTTTCAAATATTTTCTGTATTTTAATTTTAGTTTTACTTTGTTACAGTTTCTTATTTTCACTGTTCCCAACATGGCAAAAGATTAGCAACTGTCGCATTTCTTTAAAGACTTGTCTCCAACTAAAAAGCTGAATTTTTTTTTCCCCATTAGGAGTTGAAATAAAACAAAAAATTAAATAAGATTGATTCATCCAAACTTTTCTTTTAAATCTGACCTTATATTATCTCCAGCTATTTTATCTTCAGTGATATTATTTACTCCTATTGCCTTCAGTCTCCCTATGTGGGTTATGGGACTCTATTTTGAGGGGAAAGAAGCATGGATCCACTGCCCTCTAACAGGCATGTCGTAAAAGGCAACTAGTTAGTGGTTTTACCTTCAAGTGCATCTGCCGGAGAGACAAGGAACCAGCAGTAAAACAGGTGTGCACACTAAACTCAAGTTCTAGAGCAAGACCAAAGTCAAGAAGAGGATGAACAACCAGAATTTTCCATACGAGTTTACAGGTGGTTAACATAAAGACGAGGAAGAAAAAGTGATCTTCAGTCGTGAGAATTTATTATGACACTTGCATGTTACCTGCAGCATCAACCTCGACATAGAGGAGGGAGAGCTAGTGGCTGTTGTTGGAGCAGTTGGTTCTGGAAAGTCTTCGTTACTTTCAGCAATCCTTGGTGAGATGACCAAAGTTACTGGCACAGTTTCTGTCAAGGTTAGTTGTTTGAAAACTGATTGAAGTACTATCATGTTCAATCTTCCCAAGGGCCCCATTGTGGCAAAAACAAGAATAGACTACTGCCTCCCCAACAAGTATGTCCTAAGAGTCAACTAATTGGGGCTTCCTTCACAGTTGGAGTGCATCTGCCTGAGAGGCAAGGAACCAACAATCTGCATACAACTAAGTCAGATCTGTAAAACAGATGTGCATGCAACACTTAGGTTCTGGAACAAGACAAAATCCAGAGGTGGACGAACAACCAGAAATTTCCCTGGAGTCTACAGCCAGTGAATGTGAAGATAAAGAAGATATTGTGTCTTAAATTTTAAGATTACAATGTATAAAACACTGATAAGTCTAGACTTGACTCTGAAATGTAGAGTAAAGCTAAAAGAAGTAAAATCTTATTGCAGTCTTTGGAGTCTTATGACACATCTTTGCACCCATCACAGAATCAAACAGCAGAGAATGAAGAGTGACAAGCAACAGCAACAATAAAAATCTTTTTAACCCACCACTAATTACTTGCTCATAATGTATAATAGACTCAATGACTGGGACCTACAGAGAGAATGCCAGATATGATCCAATCCATCACCTTTGCTGGTGTTTTTTGGTGTTGTTTCTTTGTGTTGGTGTCCATGTTTTGTCAATACATTTGTCTCCTATTGAAGTGCCTATTTTGGTATTCTGTGCTCTCTTCTTCTTAGAATGTGTCTAATATATAGCGCCATCTTCTTTATCTTAAAATTGTTGATACCTTTGGCTGTCCAGATATTTCTCTTTATTTCTTTTCCTTTTTAAAAATTTATCCCATGTAATATTCATCAGCGTCCTTAGGCATGTGTTTTTGAACGTGTTTAATACTTTTTCAGTGTGAAATCTTTTAAAATGACCTTTTGTCACAATTTCTTTGAAAAGAAAATGCATCTTTAAATCTTTATAATTCTCTTGAACTCTGCCCTAGGAAACTAGAGAAAGAGAAGAAGAAACAGAAGACATTTTGACTTTTGAGAAATTTTTTTTAAACATCCAGGGGATCTAACCTTTAGACCACCAAAGAGAGAGGCAAGTGGAAGTTCACAGCTACATTGCAGGCATCAGATCATCGCCGAGTGTACAGCTGGTGAACGCGAAGAAGAAGATCATGAAAATAATTCAAATTAATAATAATAGTATGATTTTCATTGAAAAAAAACCCCATATTTTTATGTAAGGGAATTAATTAAAAGAATACAAACAGAGCTAAGAAAATGACTGCTTACCTTCCTTTTGGCCATGATAAATGTGGTTTTGTTGGCAGCCATAGGGAGAAAAATAACATCAGATGAGATTATTATGATGTCAATTTGGTAAAATGTTACATTTTTTAAAACCCCTAATAATGTCTCAAACATGTTTCCTTTTTTTGGGGTGGGGGAGGGGGGGGGGGGGTATATAGTTATGCCCACCATGTCTATACTCTATACCATTAAAACCAGTAACAAAGCAATTATATAGGCATAGTAACTACTGCACAAATATTTCATGTTAAGACCCTTCAATTTTAGGAAAAGGACTTTCTGGGGGTGACAAATGTTCCCTTTCCGTCCATGTCTTTAGTGGTTCTCCAGCTGTCACTGTTTTATGTTAGAACTGAAAATATGTAGCTTGGTTTGTAAACTAAAATCTAATATAATGAAATACATATTATACTGCATACTTTTTTAAAATTAATTCACGGGTTTGATCTTATTACTCATAACACTTGTAAATGTTTGTTCAGGGTTCAGTGTCTTATGTAGCCCAACAGGCATGGATACAAAATGATACTCTCCAGAACAACATTCTTTTCAGCAAGCCTTTAGAACACAGTTTTTACTCCAAAGTTATCGAAGCCTGTGCCCTGCAACCAGACCTCGACATCCTCGGGGCAGGAGATAAGACGGAGATCGGTGAAAAGGTATAGCTGTTGCAATAGATATAGCTAGATTATACTGGTTCTCATTACTTCTTTCATCCCCTTGCGGGTTCCCAGCTCCAGTTTAGAGAACAAAGAATAGACCTATTGACTTAAAAAAAAAATTTAAAAAAAAAGAAAGGAAGAAAGAAAAAAAGCATGTCATAAGAGGTAGCTAATTAGTAGTGTTTTCTTTCAGAGGGACAGTGCGTCTGCTTGAGAGGCAATGAACTAACTGTCTGCCTACAGATGAACTAGATCTAGGAAAAAACAGATGTGCTCACAAAGCTCAAGTTCTAGATCAAGCACAAAGTGCAGGAGTGCACGGACAACCAGAAATTTCCGCAAGAGTTTACAACTGGTGAATGCGGTGAAGAAGAACATTCCTTTTTTCAAAGCTGGAGTGGTATGATTGCTTTCATGCTTCCGTGCTTTGGACCTGAGGGACACAGTTTTGAAAATCCACAGAGCTGAATACAAAAAAAGAATTTGACCTGGATTTTTAAGTAGACCCAGTATAAAAATTAGTACAGGAAATGTTGTGGAAAGAAATAGTGGGTGATGTGAGATTAACCTTATCAGATGCTGCCTTGGCTGTTTGTGAATTAACTAGGCAATTTTATGTTCAGTAGTTTGCCATTGCTTTAGGAATAGTCAGCTCTCAATACCACTGTTAAAACTAATGGCACGCAGTCTCCTGCCAAATCACCCTCAGCTGGGATTGAACCGGGCACCACGGAATTACAAAAGGCGTTCGCAGCGCTAAAGCCACAAACTTCTCAAGGCATATAAAAGATATTCTTGACTTTTTAATAACATTAATTATTTGCTAATTTGACAGAAGACCACCTTTCTTCGATTTTGACCTTATTAGTTAGTTATTAGTTAATTGACAGATTATCCTCTTTGCTCATCAAATCATTTAATCCATAAGTGCTTGGATCCACTCCTCAGTAAATCCTGCAGCGAGTAGCGGCTGATGACACAGTTCTGTGTTGGTTTGGTTTCTTATTCTGTATTGGCCTCTTGCATATTGCTCTTGTCTGGCCACACCCCTCTTAGCTTGCTGTTCTTGCATTCTGGTCATGGTTGCAGATTTACAGTCACCTGATTCTTGCAAAAGACTTACTTCTCGCAGAACATCCAGTATATCAGCCTGGTCCATAGCTCATCCGCCTTTCCCAAAAGCCACAGTGTTATTATTTCTTAACTATTTAGAAAAAAGTGGTAAACTACTGAGTGTAAAATTACCTTCCTCTTAAAGTCCATGCAGTGTGGCATTGATAGTCATGTCTACCCACAGTCTTCTGTCTCATGTACTTTCAATTAACTCTGACATGATGTCAAACTGTCCAGCATCTGTTCTCTTAGTCTTCCTCTGCCTCCCCTCTCCTCCATCTTTAATACTGTCACGATGTACTCCAGTTTTCTCCACCTCATCACATGACCAAAGAATGTAGATTGTCTCTTTTTGATGTGGGCATTCAATTCCCTTAGTGAGTCAGTTTCTTTCAAGAGTCTTCATTGCTCTTTTTTATTTGTATTCTCATCATTCATCAGTAAAACCACATCTCTGCAGTTTCCAAATAAGTTTTCAATAATTTATTAACTGTCCATGATTGACATTCATATATCAGTATAGGATTTATATAGCTTTTTAGAATTCTCTTTCATCTCAACTGACAAAGAAAGATTGCATAAAATATTCTTCGGTTTGTAAAATGCTGCCTTTTCTTAAGCTGTTTGAAATTTAATATCTTTAATACATCTTCCATCTGATGTTATCAGGGTACCCAAGTACTTAAACATATCAGTTTGCTTGAGGTTTAAAATTACCTAATATAACCAGGAACAGCCAACAAATGCTGGGAATTGGTTTATGGCATTTCATAAAGGAAATACAACTGACTTCAAGCTACGTCTTTGCAGCAGTGAAATGGTTGTTGTTAAGGTTAACTTTGTGTTAAAATTGTAGCTGACTCTGTTATCATTCTTTCTTCCTCTTCTGCATGTTTGTATAGTATTATAATATTAGTATTAGTATTCAAATGTTGAATGTTGAATTAGGAATTGACATAATAGCACTCCAGACACCTCCATAAGCGCTCCATACCCATCTTCAGCTGCATATAGTTACTTGAGCATTATTTGCATCTGTATGTTGTTATATGTTTTTTTTTCTGGGAGATCTAGGGAAAGGGGGGGGGGGGTGTATTTGGGGAAAGGGGGGAATAGACTCACTGCCCTCATAACATGCATAGTATAAGAGTCAGCAAATTAAGGGTGTTTCCTTTTAAAGTTGGAGTGCATCTGCCTGAGAGGCAAGGAACTAACGGTCTGCATACAAATAAGTCAGATTTGTAAAATGGATGTGCACACAAACTCAGGTTCTGGAACAAGATTATAGTTTACAGATGGATAACAACTAAAACTGTCAGCTGGAGTTTACAGATAGTGAACACTAAGAAAAAGATTTTTTTCTTACTACTTGCTGATGAAGGTTTGTCACCACATACTCTCTGTTTATTGCAATTTTAATATTGTAAATTTGCCACCCTTATCAATGTATGTGCCTCAGAGATATTGAATACATCTTCATAGTTCTAACATAGTTGGTGGGATTCATCTGCAGGTGTTTTACTTACATACCAGTGATATGAGCAGTGACTGTTGAGAGGGCAGTGGCAAACTACTGAACATAAAATTACTTATTAAAGCTACAAACAGTCAACAATTGCTGTGGGTTACTTTTGACCCTTTGTAATTGTAATTCAGCATATGGGTTCCGGGGCCCTAATGTAGTTGAAAAGGAATACATCCTTTGTCCCTTAGCAAACATGTCGAAATGGTAACTAATTAAGGATTTGCTGAAATTGGATGTGTTTGGCCGAAAAGCACAGATATCATAGTCTAGCTGTAAACCACAACAAAATTTTGTAAAGCTGACTTAAATCTTGTGTATACTGGTCTTAAAAAATTGGCCCCTAAGCATTTTAAAATTTAGTAATTGTACTCGTGTTTTTTTTAAAATATACAACAGGGAATAAACTTATCTGGAGGTCAGAAACAAAGGGTATCACTTGCTAGAGCAGTGTACCAGGATGCAGACGTATACCTTTTGGACGATCCACTCTCAGCCGTGGACTCTCATGTGGGGAAGCACTTGTTTGACAAGGTCATCGGGCCTGAAGGAATGCTCAAAGGGAAGGTTTGTAATATTGTGCCGTTATTATTTTATATTATATTTAGTGTTTGTAAAATAGATAGTGTTGATCATAGTCATAAATATGCTAATCCCTCTGAGACCAGACAAGGGGAACACCTTGTACGGAGGAAAAGAACAGCTTGTGAAAACATGAAAATTCCACTACATGGCATTGGACCAGAGGGTGAAAGCCCATGTGCCGCTGGATAGACAACAACAATAACAACATCAGAGTTATAACAAGAGTTGTTCAAAACGCTTTTCATGCTTCTCAAAAAAAATTAAAATTATTAATTTACTTGTCCTTTGTCCAAACATTGCTGACAGTGTATATGATATGTCTAGTATCCACACTTGACTTCGAATATGGGGCATCTTTATCCGTACATCACTCACATTGGATGTATGTGGATAGATTTTATTTTTAGTAGCTGTATCACTCTCCATGTTGTTATCCTCAAATTGACATCAACCACATCAAAACTAGTTGACTGCCAACTACAGTCTCTTATACTCCATATTTTTTCCTTGGCACCTTTCCGTCTTTCCAGACGATAGTGTCATACAAGTCTGTGAAAAGACACTCGAATACGATAAAGAGCTGAACGTGGTCTTTGTAGATCAAGAGAAGGCATTCGACCGTGTAGACAGAGATGTGCTGTGGAGAATTCTTGACGATTACGGAGTGCAGGGTCAATTATTAGACAAATCTAGTGGTCTTTCTGACAAAGTCACACTGGTGTCAGACAAGTTGTACTGTCACCATTACTTTTCATAACATATGGATAAGATCACTGTAGAAGCAAACCCAGACGTGTATGCTATAAACGAATTACTTTTTGCTGAGATCAGCATACTGTATCAAAATGAATATGATCTACAGCATCTGACTACTCTCAACAACAGTTTACACTAATATGAAATCATACAGAAAAAACAGTTGGAAGATCAGCAGAACACACAGGCACTGAATATAAATGTTGGAAGTGCCAAAATCAAGCAAAACCAAAGAGTTCAAATACTTGGGCAGTATATTTACAGAGGATGGAAGATGGACAGAGAGATAGAAACAAGAATACAGAAAGCAAATGCTGTCACATACCAAACTATCACCTCTGCTTAAACATCCAGATATAACCATGAAGACCAAAAGACAATTGATAAACACCATCTTCATTCCAAACACTCTGCTACCAGTGCCAGACATGGACAATCAACAAGACCCATGAAAGAAAAATAGAAGCCTGTGAAATGAAATGTCTAAGAAAAAGCAGCGAATAAGACAAGACTAGACAGGATAAAGAATATAGACATTAGAAACACTGTCAAAACTACACCATGTTTAGACTACATAGAACATCAAAGAATGAAATGGTTTGGACATCTAACCAGGATGAAAAATGATCAAATAACATCACAAATTTTCAATCAAAGAAGCTCAGGATATAAGGCAAGAGGAAGACCAAGGAAACGGTGAATTGACGGGGTCTCCGAAACCTGCCAAAAGCATGGCCTCAGAACATCAGATGCTGCCCGCCTTGCTTATGACAGGAACTTGCATCTCCCCACAACGCTTAGCGGCATACGTGGAAGGAAAAAGTAAAGTAAAGTAAGTAAGTGTCATACTGCGCTATGAGGAGGCATGGGACTCGCAGACCATGGCGATGGCGAGAGTGACTAGCAAGACCCGCCCGTGTCAAGAATTGAATTATCTACCAAGAACTTAATCCCGCAAGGACTAACTAAAAAAAAAAAAAACTAACTAGAAATCTCAACTAAGGAAAAATAAAAGATGTGCACCCATAAAGCCAAATTTTTCAACCAGAGTCTTTATCAACAGAAAAACAAAAGATTTAGCAACAAATGATGAGGTCAGCATGAAACCCGAAATATGAGATAGTAAAAAATATAGATAGGAAGAGCTATTTTTGAAATGTACATAAAAAAAAAGGGGGAGAATATTAAAAAAAAAGATAAATGTTCTAAACATTAATCCCTGTAGAGTTGAAAATACCCAAACTGACTTTAACGAAAATCATGATAAGGTAGCTGGTTTGATCCCTAGAGCAAGATTTTATTGCAGTAACAGAGGTGTAAATTTGTCTTTTCTTGACAGTCAGAACTATTATCAAATAATTTGTCTTCTTACTTTTTACATTTGGTATACTGAAGAATCTAGCTTTGGTAATCTTGGTAATCTAGAATACTGAAGAATCTAGCTTTGCCACTGGTCACCTCCAATGTATATGTAGCTTCTCTGAAAAAAAAAACTAATTATTAATTATTCATATTAGTTATTTCCTCATTTGGACATCTGCTGTGAAATATTATTTGGCTGAAAGACTTACTGAATTCCTATGATGAAGAGTTAGCATCAGTGTATTAGGATCATGCCCATTAGTGGCAGATTTTCGTGATAACCATACATGCTTTCTTCTTCACTGTGTTCGCCCGTAAAAAGGCAGTTAGCAAATTGTGGTTTACAGCTAGCTGTGATATCTACACCTTTCAGCTCAACACATCCAATTTCAAGAAAATCTTAATTGTTCGCCATTTACAACATGCTTGATAGGGACAGTGGGTCTGTTTCCTTCCTGCCCTAGAATAATGGGGCCCCAGAACTTACACAAAGAATACTTTACTATGCACCTTCCCATCGACTGTTTTTTCCACAGACTCGAGTACTGGTCACACATGGGATTGGATTCTTGCCGCAAGTAGACAAGATAATTGTGCTTGTTAATGGAGAAATCTCTGAAAGTGGCTCATTCTCAGAGCTGTTAAAATACAATGGAGCTTTTGCTGAATTTCTGAGAAACTACTTGACAGAGTTGAACAGTGAAGATCCTGCATTACAAGATCTTGAAGGTGAGTCTATGTCACTGCAGCAGTCTATAACTATATTCATACAAAGTTTATGACTCTTTTTTCTGGAAAGGCACCCCATGTGTGTGATAGATTTAATTGGTCTTAATTTTTTTGTGGCTTGATGTTATTAATTTCGCAGAATATTTTGCTTTTATAATTTTTTCCTTCTATATACAATGATTTTGAAAACTTGGTGGTCTATGATTTTTACAAATTAGCAATTGCCATTCAAATTATATAAACTAAAGTCACTTAAGGAGTTTCAGTTAATGACAGTCATGAGTATAGAAGAACATTTCTTCTATGATTGATAATATCCACAGTCCTTTTTAGGATGAAATTTTTTGTTATTTGAAACCCTACTCTGGCTCTTGCCAGGGGCCGCAATATAGTCAGGCCATGTTGTTGTTGTTGTTATCGATCCAGCGGCGCATGAGCTTTCACCCTTTGGCCCAATGCCATGTAGATAGTCAGGCCATATATATGGCCTGATGGCTGAACATGGTTTCTGGGACCTCTCCACGGTGATCCTCATCCGCATGGTGGCACTTTGTGTAATTGGGGTGTTTATCGCTTGTGTGATCCTGTCCTGGTGGGGTAGAAAATCAGTCAGAACATTTCTTGTACCATTCAAGTGTAGTTCTCCCCATGTGTGTTCTGGGTGCCCATTTGGGGGGAAATAAGAACAGACCCACTGCCTGCCCTAACTGGCATGCTGTAAAAGGCAGCTAACTAGAGGAGTTTTCTTCAAAGTCAGAGTGTGTCTGCCTGAAAGGCAAATACAAATAATCCAAATCTGGAAAATAGATGTTTATGCAAAACTCAAGTTCTGGAATAAGATCAAAGTCCAGAAGTCCATAAACAGCCAGAACTTTCTGCCAGAGTTTACAGTCAGTGAACGCAAAGAAGAAGATGTTTACTTGTGTTGGTTTATGTATGTATTAAACCATCTTTCATGATATTTTCATGTGTAATGATTTATAGCAGAACAGTTAAGAATGCTGCTGGGCTCTCATTTGAGACACCCAGTTTAGAATCCTCACTAAGGTGATGCATTTTTTCTGTTGGGGAAAAAATAAGATTCTAACCTGACCTGCACATGTACATTTGTGTGGTCACATGCTTGCTTAACTCTTTGAGTCCCAGGGGGTTTAGCATCAGAGGCCCTAGGGGTAGTCAAAAGAGATGTAAAATCAGCGCATCTTGCGTTCATTGGGCCTCTAGGTGGGAACCTATGAATTTATGATGCGTTCCTTGGGACTCAAAGTGTTAACAGAAGCTGTTTATTTTATAAAAATACATATATTTATATTATATCCAGACTACAGGACCTCTTCAGCTGCTTAACAGAACTCTTTGCTAATGAAAATTCTAATAATTGACTGCTTTTTTTCTTTAAATAATGATTCTACACAACATTTTATTTAAAATGGTGTTAATTACTTTATTAAATTATTGTTTTAATTATAATTATGACCATATTTACATTTTGTTAGATATTTAGAAAAATAATATTTAGGAAAGGAAAATGGTGTTGCATATTATTTTAATACCTTCAAATTTGTAATCGTGTAACCTTTTATTCATGGAAGGGAGTAATCATTGTTTTACACTTTTAGGCAACTTGAGCAACAATATAGATGGTAAGAGACCTGTCGACTGTTTGCACAGATTGTTTGAAACTATGCTTTTCACATATTGCAATAATGCTTGGGAGTTAACATTTGTGCATCTTTAATTGGTATGCTAAAAAATTAAAATTATACTGTGAAATATATATTTTTTTTTAATGCTTTAAAGAAAAAAAAAAAAGATTTAATGGAAAAACTAACAAAATTCTCTTACTTGCTTCCTCGGTTATTTTTACAGTCATTTAACATAACTAGTAATTTATTACTATTGTTTTAGCTACTTACCATCAAGTGTCCAGATGTAGATAAATGCCTTAATTACGTAAATTATTTATATATTTTTTCTAAGCATAACCGAATCACTTATAAAAACTATAAAGAAAAGGCAATGAAATTAACTCTTTCAGTCCCAGTGAACACATCATACATTTTCATAGGTTTAAAAGGCAATGAAATTAACTCTTTCAGTCCTAGTAAACACATCATACGTTCATAGGTTTAAAAGGCAATGAAATTAACTCTTTCAGTACCAGTGAACACTTCATACATTCATATGTTCCTACCTAGAAGCCCAGTGAATGCAAGATGGGCCACTTTCACCTCTCTCTTTACTACCCCTTGGACTCCTGATCCTAAACCCACTTGGACTGAAAGAGTTAATGAGGCATATCATAGAGGAGATGGAATAGAAAATTAACCTTGTACAGGATACTCCTAGGCAATAGTGGCAGAAAAAAACAGAGTAAGTGAGTGATGTAAATGGAAAATTCAAACAGTCAAAGAAACTGCGAAGCAAGTCCATTTAGAACTAATTGAGGCTAAAAGTCCCGATTAAATAAACTATGTGGCTCAGATTCCATTCCAGCATATCTTCAAGTCAAGTCAGATATTCTGTCTCCCTATTTGGGTTCTAGGGCCTTATCTGTGAGGAAAAGTAGTAGACTCAGTGCCTTTAACAAGCATGTTGGAAAAGTAGGCTAATTAAGCATTTACTGAAATCGACACAGATATTGCAGTCTAGCTGTAGACCTAAACACAATGTGCCAACCACCTCTTTAAGGACACATGAAGTAGTAGTAGTGGTAGCTGTAGGAGGAGGAGGAGAAGGAAGATGAGGAGAAGAAGGAGGAGGAGATGAAGAAGAAGGAAGAGGAGGAGAAGAAGGAGAATAAAAAAGAGGAGAAGAAGAAGAGGAGGAGGAGAAAAAGAAGGAGAAAAGGAAGAGGAGGTGGAGAAGAAGGAAGAGGAGGAGGAGAAAACGGAAGAGGAGAAGGAGGAGGAGGTCTGCGTATTGATGTGTAGTTCTGTTTTCAGATAAAAGTCAGTATGAAACAGTGATCTTGAAATTACTGATTACTGATTGAAGAATCAGCACTATAACATAGAGGGCCTTGTCCATAGCAAATGTCTTAAGGTATGCTAGCTGACTGTTCTAGTAGCACACACTGGTCTTAGACATGTCATACTCTCATATATCCTTTCTTGCTGGATTCACACTTAATACCACATTCACACAGTCTTACACATGGTGTTTCATCTAACATTTTAGCCTCCATTGATATTCCTTCACGCAGGGTTTTTAGAATGTTTGCCTGTTCTTATAGCTATTACTTTTGTAGCAGCAAATAAATCTCTTCTTTCTTTACCTCACACTCCTGCACTTTCCAGAAGTATATCTAAATAAACCCATGTAATTTAGATGTGGTATTTAGCATCCATTCATGCACATAAATCAATTTTAACATTTTTTAATTAATCATAACCTGAAATTGACTTCATGACAGCTTATAAAAAGACACCTTTATAGCATGCATATAAATATGTGTGCAAATAAAGAGAGAATAAGTCCTACCTGTCCTTAACATGTCACACTCGAATCCACTTATTTCTAAAGTATCTGAACAACTGTTTTCTGCTTTATGGAGAATTTGCTTGCCTTTTATATCCCACAATATGTATTTGTAATTGTGTCAACAGATTAGATTATCATTGGCACCTTTCCTTGTTTCCAGATGAAAGAGTTATATTGCACTGTAGAGAGGCTTGGAAATCACATCTCTTGGGGATGATTAGTGTTAATAGCAAGACCCAAGTACATTGGTTCATAGGTTAAAGTTTAAAGTCGAGAGGATCGACTTCATTGCACTGGGTTTTATCCCACATGGCTCGGTCTCTCTTCACAGAAGGGCTGGTTGCCTGGCAAGAGCGTCACACAGAGCACAATCACAGTAGCAATGATCCCAAGGAGTATCCATAAAAACTGCACTTGTGAACCAAATGATACAGACGTGAAACAAGCCAGTGACCTTCAGAGCACGAGTGAAAAGGCTTGACCACTTCCCTGCGGAAGCCCCCATAGAGATTAACATTTGATTTTTTAAAAATTGTGTTACCTGAGGCTTCTGCTTAGAAAGGCTAAAAAAAAAATTAATTTTTTAATGTTTTTTTTTTTAATTTCTTTAAAACTGTCAAATGTGTTGACTGTCTGTCAGTGGTGTAACAATGTGGAACACTTCTGAAAATTCAAGAAATATTAGTTCCAAGGATACCACTAACTGATTATATGTCTGCATTCTATCTGCATTGTCTTTGACAATAACTTCAAAAAACATTTTCCTGGGGATTACAAGGAAAGATCGAGAAATATGAACTACACAGGATATCACTAGGTGAAATTATGACAGTGCAAACTGCTTATAATAGGTTAAAATACTTGGATAGTTTTAGAGAACTACTCAAACATTTTAAAATATAATAGAAGAATATTGCCACACACAAAAATAGTAATAATTATAGTCATTTATTGTTAGTCATTTATTTTTGGGCAGCCAAAAAGAGCAACTAAGAGGTTTTGAAAGAGGCGGGAGCCTGAAGACTACTTATAGCAGATATCAGAAGGAGACAGTCATCATTTTTCAGCCATTTTATGAGAAGAGAGAAAATGGAACATGTTGAGACCACTGAAAAGATCTGTGGAAGGAGAGATAGAGGAAGACAACGAGACAAGATTCTTGACAGCCTTGTTGCATGGCATGGAGGTGTGTCGGCACACAAACTGATTCATACTTCAGGAGATCGCCCACGCCAGTCGGCAAGGCACCTGATGATGATGAAATGAAAAAAACAAAAATATATGAAACTGGATAGCACAAAATCACAGTAAAACATTATTATAGAATCTATCCAAAATGAAATAGTAAAATTAGGGGTTAAAAACATAAACATTGATCATCAGAAATAATAATAGACACTATACACCTAATAGTTTACAATGTAAAAATGTTTGTGTTTGAAGTGCACTATAGAGAAAGGTGCAGCATCTACTGTAGTTTCAAAAATGCTGTTGTGATCTCAAGAGTAACTTTTATAATTCAGAAAGTGTGTATCACATACAGCTCTGAAGACACATAAATAGTTTGGGAACATGAAGGCTATAATAGTATTATTTTGAAATGTGATGTTTATTTTTTTGTATTTTTGTGTGTGTGTGTGTGCGCGCGTGCATGTACGCATGTGTGCGCGCTCACAAACACACATCCCTGGACTGTTTTAGCTTAGTTAAAAATAACTGCTATTATTTTAAATTATGGAAGTCTTTGATCTAGTAAAGTAGAAGTATAACTGTCTTGCATGTTCTAGTAGACTTGGATTTGAAACTTGTGTAGTTAGTTAGAACATATAATGAATTAATTAAGTTGCCTATTTACATTGTAAAATTTAGCATTTAGATGCAAGAAAAGCAGGCTCAGAATTGTCTACTTTCTAAAACGTATATTTACTGTTCAATTTTACAACTGAGAATTGGTGGCCAAAGTATACAAAATATATATTTTGATTTTTGTTAAGATGAACATATTTTCTGAAGAAAAAAATTGTATTCTTGATGAGAATATTTCACCTGAAGAAGTTATGCCTGTGCTCAGTGATGCTAGTTGAAATGAATGTATGTGAAAAATACATTTCCACTCTTTTACGTCACTTTTTTTAGGGGGAGGAGGGGGGGGGGGGGAGGCGCAGCATGATAAATAAAGGAAGGATCTTCTGGATCAGCATTTGTGAAGTATTTTAATTTAAAACAGAGGAGAGTTGTTGTGCCTATGGACATGTATGGAATACAATGACAATAACTTGAAATGACTCTACCACCCTTCCCACCCATGATTTAGAATACTGTTTTGAATGTGACCCTTCCCCCCTCCCCCTTTTCCAGTGGTTTTATGGCCTCATTTTGGGGGTGAGTGGGGGGGGGGAGACCCACTGCCTCAACAAACATATCATAAATGGCGGCTTATTAAAGGTATGCTGAAGGTGGGTATGTTGGGCTGAAAAGCACAGATAACAGTAAACTACAGGGTGCCTAATATTTCCTTACAGAGGGAAAAATAAAAATTTGTTAAATGGAAACCATTTTATTTATATAGTCTGCTCTACAAGACTACTCATCATCAATTCTCGTTGTGCCTAGTGGCACATGAGGCTTTAGAGAGGACTTTCCATGCTTTCCTGTTCTGTGCAATCTTCAGTGCAGTTTTCCATGTCAAAGATGCCACACGCAGGTCACTTTCCATCGTTCGTCTCCATGTTGTTTTTGGGCGCCCCTGTTTTCTCTTTTCCTCTGGTGTCCATGTGAGAGATGTTTTGGCAGGTATATCAGAAGTCATTCTCATAACGTGGCCAAGCCATCTCCATCTTCTCTTGGTAATCATACTGTCTAAAGTTTCTTGGTTTGTGGCTTGAAGTAGTTTAGTGTTTGAGATTGTATCTGACCAGAAAATTTTGATAATTCTACGTAGACATGTGTGGCGGAAGGTGGACAGCTTGTGTGCATCCTTTTTGGTCATTCTCCAGCTTTCCGCTCCATATAGAAGAACTGGAAAAATAATGCTCCTGTAGAGTCAGAGTTTCGTTCCTCTGCAGTAATTGTTGGATTTTCAGATTTGCCTCATCCTTCCAAAAGCAGCTCTAGCTTTGTTCAGATGTGACTTACAAGACTACTGTTGTTTGTAAAACACATTTTGATGTATATTCTGCACTGCTGAAGAACACGTAAATGCAAAGCTTGAATTTTGCTTGTACTGGCATTGGTGAGATCCTTCTCATTTTCTATGTGTGGACATTTACAGATACCTTTTATTTATAAATCACAACCCAATGCACCGGCCACAATTTGAAGGGTGAGCAAGGAAGAAGACGAATATTTTAATGTTTTTTTTTTTCTAAAATTTAAACCAGTAAAGAGCAGCAGTTGCATCCCTATTTTCTACAGGGAACATAAGAGTTGAATAAAAATAATTGAATATTTTGATACTTTCTTCAGTGCTGAGCATAAGGGATGAGATTATTAGCCAGCTGGAGGCGACCATTGATCACAAAGACATTTTGGAAAGGTAAGAGTTTTGGCCGTGGGCTTTTTATGTATTTGTTATGACAAATGTGTATATTTCTCCTGACTTCATTTTTTTTTACAAGGATTAGCTTTGTTGCACCAGGTTTTTATCCCATAGGGCTCCATCTCTCTGCACAATGGCCAACCACCTGCTGATAGCATTTCTCAAAGCACAGACTCTGTAGCTTCTGTGACAGTCCCCAGGGATCTGTGTAAAAACTTTTCTTCTTCGCGTTCACCGGCTGTGAACTCTGGCGGAAAGTTCTTGTTGTTTGTCCACTTCTGGACTGCAGTCCTGTTCCAGAACCTGAGTGTTGCGTGTGCATCCATTTGACAGATCTGTATGCAGACTGTTGGTTCCTTGCCTCTCAGGCAGATGCATTCTGACTTTGAAGGAAGCTCCCAATTAGTCGACTCTTACGACATGCTTTTGGGTAGGTTCTGGTTTTTCCCATAGTAGGGCCCTGGAATCCACACAGGGGTGTGTAAAAATTGAACCCTTGAACTTAATGACTGAGCCGTGAGACAAATCCATGACCTTCAGAGCTCAAGGCAAATGGCTTGACCACTTCACCACAGACTCCATTGTTGTGTACATTTCTGCTTAACAGATGATAGTTCAAGTACAATTTGAATATTATAATTAATTGTTTTGAAAGAATAAATAGCCAACAGACCCCCTCCCCCCACCCCCCCACCCACCCCTTCATTATCTAACATTATTAGAGACACCACACCAACATAATCATTATTTTTGTCGGTAAGCATGGTCAACCATTGTTCACCATTTTATAATTTCTTCTTGGTCTTCCTAGTGCGCATTGGCTGTATACCCCAGTGGAAAGTTCTGGTTGTTCATCTACTTCTGGCTTTGATCCAGACCTCCTGTTTTATGTGCACATCAGTTTTACAGATCTGGCATATTTTTATGTGCAGACTGTTGGTTCCTTGCCTTCAGGCAGATGCACTCTGACTTTGAAGGAAACCCCCCTTATTAGAACTTCCGGTTCCGACATCGATAGGGAATGGATGACGGTTAAGAACTTGACTTATGTTGACTGTTCTCGTCAGAACTACTGAATTTAGTGCTCCCGGGGGCACTATGAGCTGTGATTATCGGTTATTGACTATTTCTTCTAGATTTGTACATAATGGCAATGATGGGTGATGTATTTTTCTTCGTTGTGTTCCTGGGATAAGGCGTGTGCTATAGCTGCTATTTATTTGCTGGCCGTGGCTGCAACATGGCTGAGGACATGTGGAGAATGGTCAGGAATAGTTTTAATCTTCTCATCGCCCAGCTGTTCGTCAAATGAAGTTGATTTTCACCGATGGTGCCTGGTCTCGCAGAGTATTTAAGGGGGCATCCACCTTATAGTTTGCCAGATCAAATCGTGTGTGTTTTGCTGACTGAGGACACTTTGTATGGCTATGGCATTCACTTGAAGTATCCAGCGTATCTGACTCAGTTTGTGACTGGAATCACTGGCATAGGCTGTTGAGCAATTATGGGCCAAGCTCATTTGCTGTGATGCCGGAAATGTAATGACTGACTGACCCTTTTATTAGACACCTCCTAGACATACTGGTTTGTGGGGCAGTGGGTCTATTCTTGTTCATAACTGAGCTCTAGAATCCACAAAGGGAATAATATAATTTGAGTCCCTTGATAAGTCAGTGCTCTTCCCCTACTTATGCCATTTTGTCAGGGTCTCTAGGTTAAAAAAAATGTTAATGACCTGGTTAGAGGCAGCTTTTCCCCGTGCATATTTTCTAATTAATTCTGTGAACATGCTTAGGAAGGGCAAGACAGGGTGGGTTCAAACACAATGGTTGGAGACTGGGACAATCATGACTGACAGGAATCAGTTTCATTTTGTGCCAGGACACTCTGGGGTAAAAAGGAATGAACAGGTATTTTGGCTGACTGACAGAGCCATGGTAAGTAAAGTAAAAGTAAAGATCCCTTTACACGCCTTTAGGCGTATCGGGCATATGGGAAGAGCACCCATATTTTTACAGACCAATCAGCACTCGGTGGATAATGTGGTCAGCATTACGCCGGCCATCTTTACTTTCCCAGGACAGCCCATCCTGGTACCCATTTGAGGCTGGGTCGACCTGCGACGTTCCATACCACGATAAAAATCCACGCAGCCCACACAGGTTTCGATCGTGGTACGTTGGATTACGAGTCAGACTCGCAACGCCTTAGCCACGGATGCCGCTAGAGCCATGGTAGTCGAAGAAAAAGCAGTGAACCACACTGATGATGTGATTGCTCTCAAGGAGGCAGAATGAGTAGATGATTCAGGAGACGACAATTAATTGGAAACCTTGATTAGACTACATGAACTTCATCTCAAAAGAGGTGTTGTCAGACATGAAAACTATGTTAGAAGCAAAGATAATATCAGACTAACACAGAACTGGTGTTATCAGTTTCCTCACACTAGAGGAGATATCAAGATGGGATTGGAGAACTTACAGACTTGTTCGGTGAGGATAACTGGTCGATTAACTAACTAACTAACTAGCTAATTATTTAAAAGTTCTTATTGTTTTAAAAAAATGTACTTTACATATCTAATGGAGGGAGTGAAGAGCTTTCATAAAGAAATAGCTACATCATAATTTCTTGGCTTTTTTCTATCTTATAACTGCCCAACTAAATTTTTGTGATTGCTAGATTTTATTCTTTTCATTGCCAGGAATAGTGATAGATTACCACAATTTTTAGTGTCATTGTCAGTTAAATTCCAATTATGACTAACAGTAATGTTTAGCTTGATATTTTTATAGGCTGTCATTTACTGCTTTTATTTTCATCCATTTTTTAATCTGATACATGGAAAAGAAATGATGACAGTACCATTTCAATTATCTTAGGCGAGTTTCTGTGATAAATGAACGGATACGTAAACAGTCTTTGAAAGCAAGTAATCCATCTCTGAACAACTCATCACCAACACCGAAGAGGAGATACACAAAATCTGACATCATGGATCAGGAAGAGAAGAAACCACTGAAGAAAGATGACAGCAAATTAGTACAGGCTGAGACAATGGAAACTGGAACAGTAAGAACAATTTCCCCTCCCTCTCTCTGTCTCTTTCTCTCTTTCTGTGTGTGCATGTGCGTGTGTGCATGCATGTATATGTGCAAGTGTATGTGCATATGCATGTGTGGGGGCGCAGGCAAGAGAGAGCACACAAGACATTCTAAGAATTCTTCCGACACCTGAAGCAGTATAACAGGAGGTGAAGAATAAGAGAGGAGCATCTGGTTGAGTAGTTAGAATGCTTGCCTTTCATTTGGGAGACCCTGTCTTAAATCCTTGGTAAGGCAGTGGGGTTTTTCTTTGTCAGGGGCAAAAATGCATGCAGTTTGTAATGACATGCAGACCTAAATTCGTAGGCTAAACATGCCCCCCCCCCCCCCCCCCCCCCCCCCCCCACCTCCAAACCCTACACCTTCTTAAAAAATTATAAGAGCAGTAAAAGACAGTATCTAGGTGCTTACCTCCCGACCGGAAGATTTTGGATTTAAATCCATATTGAGACATATTGTTTTTCTCCAAATTGAGTATGGCTTCCAGAACTAAGATGGGTATTGTTTGTCCTGGGAAGTAAAGATGGCTCGCACGATAATGAGGTCATACAAGATGCATGGTGACACAACCACCGACCAAATACTGGTTATTGTGTACAAATCTGAGCCTAACATCATAGGCACATCCAATTCTGGCATAAAGGGGGTCATTCTCTTACTATTTACCTTAGTGTTTTCCATGTGTGGCATAAACGGGGTCATTCTCTTACTGTTTACCTTAGTGTTCTCCATGTGTGGCATAAAGGGGGTCATTCTCTTACTATTTACCTTAGTGTTTTCTATGTGTGGCATAAAGGGGGTCATTCTCTTACTGTTTACCTTAGTGTTTTCCATGTGTGGCATAAAGGGGGTCATTCTCTTACTGTTTACCTTAGTGTTTTCCATGTGTGGCATAAAGGGGGTCATTATCTTACTATTTACCTTAGTGTTTTCTATGTGTGGCATAAAGGGGGTCATTCTCTTACTGTTTACCTTAGTGTTTTCCATGTGTGGGTTCCTGGGCCCCTTTGGGGGGTGGGGAAGGATAGACCACTTGCCATCATTAAAAAAGCATATCGTAAAAGGTGACTCAGTAGGGGATTTACCTTTAAAGTCAGTGCATCTGCCTGAGAGGCAAGGAAACTATTGTCTGCTTACATACAAATGAGTCTGATATGTAAAACTGATGTGCACATAAAAATCAAATTCTGGAACAAGACCCACACTTTCAACCAGAACTTTCCATTAGAGTTTACAGATGGTGAATGCTAAGAAGAAGAAGAAGGAAAGACAGTGTTTTTAAAATATATACCATAGGCTCTTCATATCTCTAACCCTTGCATTGCCATATTAATTGTACACTTTCTCTTGTGTGAAGGTCAAGCTGAATGTGTACATGACCTATGTCCGAGCTATTGGTATCATGTTGAGCCTGGTGATCATCTTGTTCAGCATTCTCTTCAACGCCACTGGTATCTATTCCAACATCTGGCTGAGTCAGTGGAGCAACGATGCTCGCAACCCCAACATCACTGCAGATGCAAGCAACAGAAATATGAGGCTGGGAGTTTATGGTGCTCTAGGTATTATTCAGGGTGAGTTCTTTTTTTGCTGTAGCATTTACTAAGAGTATACACCATGGTCATACACCTCTCTACTAAAAGGTTAGTTGCATATGCTTTACAGGATGTTGCAGAACCAACTTTAGGATTTTATTTTGGCTGTTGTGGTTTTTCTAGGCAAATATACGTCCAGTAGTTTGCCATTTATTTATGGACAGTTGACTTCCTTATACCACTGTTGAAACCAATGCAAGACACGAGGCCTGCAGCTGGTATGGAACTCGGCACCCTGGCATAATGAAGCGCGTTCACAAGCCACAGATGCCGACGATCTCTCTACTACTTAACATTAAACAGATAGTCATATGGCTTGTCAGTGAGAGCGTCCCTGACAGAGAAAACACTTACAGTTGGCTGAGTTCTGACATAATTATTTATTAGACATTAAATATTAAATGTTTGGCTCATGCTAGCTGTTAGCCAGGGGAAGACCAAGAAAAATATAGATGAATGGTGTAGATGAAACCTGCAAGAAGATAAATAAATCCATCACCCAGGCCACTAGAGAAGTGCAAGACAAATACAAAAAAAAAGAAAAACATGACACTGGGCTACAACCTGCTATCAGTGAGATGACTAACAAAAAAAGAAGAAGTAATAGCTACTGGTAAATGACAGTACTCATATAGTTGTTGCTTTGCACACTTCATTGTCTGCTGTTTTCATCTTTGATTGGTGCAACAATTTATTGCAAGACTCTTTTCTGAAAAGTTTGTAGTATAATTTCATATTTTTTTTACTTGCATCCCAGATTTCAGAGCCACAAAGTACTATTGGTCTTAACAGTTTATTCTATATTATTTTATCTCTGTTATGAGTAGACTGTGAAAGTAGATTTTACAGGGCATAGAATACCTTATTTCCAGATTGTATTCTAGACTGTGATTGTATTCTAGATTTTATTTCTTCTGTTGGTCTGCAGTTCTACATCTGGTCTATTATCATCATACAATTCCCATATATATTCTGTCTATCTATTAACTATATTACTATGTCCCATTAATAATTTGCCATTTTTTAATTTTAAACATCCAGTGCTGTTACGTGTCATCTTTCCCGTTAACATATTTATCTCTTGGTATATGGAATGTGAGTCTTTCCTGTGATCATCAAATGAAAGATGCAGTACTGAGATAAGAAACAGAATAAGACAGGCAAAAACTGCATTTTATAAAATGAAGAACATCTTATGCAATATATCTTTGTCATTGGGGGTTAGAAAAAAAAATTCTTGCTTGCTACATACATCCAGTTTTAACATATGGCTGTGAGTCCTAGACAATCAGTGAGCAAGCCAAACAATTTCTTGAGGCCTCAGAGATTTGGTTTTACAGAAGAATGCTTAAAATACCTTGGACAGCTAAAAAGAGCAACCAAGAGGTTTCGAACGAGGCAGGAGCCTGAAGACAACTTATCACACACATCAGAAAAAAGACAGTCATCATTTTTCAGTCATGTTATGAGAAGAGGGAAAATAATTCATGTTGTTTCTTCTTTCTTCTTCACGTTCACCAGCTGTACACTCTGGCGGAAAGTTCTGGTTACTCGTCCACTACTGAACTGCAGTCCTGCTCCAGAACCTGAGTGTTGCGTGTGCATCAGTTTTACAGATCTCATTCTCTTGAATACAGACTGTGACTACTGGAAAGATTTGTGGAAGGAGGGATAGAGGAAGAGAATGAGAGAAGATTTTTAACAGTCTTGTTAAATAGCATGGAGGTGTGTCAGCACACATTCTGATAAATGCTCAGGAGATCGCAGATTGTGGGGAGGCATGATCGCCGATGCCAGTTGGCAACGCATCTGATGATGATGATTTCTTCTGTTAGTATGTTGTAGCAGTTGATATTTTTAGCCAAGTACGTGCATGCTTTTTCAAATTTTTTTTTACAAAAAAACAAACTTATAAATCTATTTTTTGCTCAGTAAAAATGTATTTACAGTTTTTCCATTTAACAAGGAATATATCTTTACTGATAGGTGTCTATTTAAAAAGAAACCACTTTTGTTATTTTTACAGGTATAATTATATTTGTGGCGTCACTTATGCGCCTTCTTGGAGCTATCAAAGCATCACGAGTTCTACACATTGGAATTTTATCCAATGTAATTCGAAGTCCTATGAGTTTTTTTGACACTACACCAAGCGGGCGTATCGTCAACCGCTTCAGCAAAGACCTGGACACTTTAGACATTATGGTTCCGATGCTCATTGGGATGTTTCTGAACTGCATGTTCCAAACGGCCTCCACCTTGCTGGTGATTTCCTTTTCCACACCATTGTTCCTGGCGGTCGTTGTACCTTTGTTGATCTTCTATTACTTTGTGCAGGTATGTCCATTGTATGTAATCATTATTAACTACAGTAATCTGTTTTACACAAGCATGTTTGGGTCTTCAAATTTCTATGTAAAACCTGTAATTAATCATCTTTTTGTGAACATTATTTAGAAATAACTCTGGCGTGATGCTGACCACATCACCCATCTTGTGCCGATTAGTCTATTAAATATAGGTCTAGCCCTATATGCCTTTTATGCTTAAAGGCGTGGAAAAGGGTCCTTTACCTTTTTTGTTTTTGTTTAGAAATAACTATACCAGGTGTGTTTATATTAGATAGAAATTAATACTGTCAGCGTTACTGATTTGCTTGCTTCTGAATTTTGCTTGGACTAATTGTTGGTTCTCTAGTTTTTTAATGGAAAAGTGAAGGGCATGTCATATGATTTTCACTGACACAGGAATGGAGACTTTATAGGGTGACCTGTGTGCATTAAAGATGAAACCTTGACCACTACTACTGCTGCTGCTGCGACTGCTATTACTAATACTACTGCTACTACTACTACTATTACTATGACTAGTTCTAGTATTAATATGACTGCTACTACTACTGCAACTGAGACTACTGCTGCTTTTACTGCTACTACTATGAATCTTGACTACTGCTACTACTGCTAAGACTACTACTACTCTGACTACTACTTTGATTACTACTACTACTTTTACTTCTACTACTACTACTACTACTACTACTGCTGCTGCTGCTGCTGCTGCTGCTGCTGCTGCTGCTACTACTACTATGACTACTGCTGCTACTACTACTGCTGCTACTACTACTACTACTTCTGCTGCTGCTGCGGCGGCGGCGACAACGACGAGTACAACGACGACACCTACTACTACGACTACAACTATGACTACTACTTCTATGACTACCACTACTACTACTACTACTGTTATTAGTTTGGCAGCATGACTGTCTTAAAATTGTATATGTTGCATGATTGTTTTATAATTGTTTGAATTTCATATACACATATTTAATGAACTAATCATATAGAGCTTTCATAATAATATTCACTCAGCTTTTAATCATTGATTGGACTAGAAGTTTGTATTTTACACATTATTTTCCTCATTATTTTATTTGTATATTCTTGTGGGTTTCTATAGCAAACTATTTAAACCATTTGTTTTGAGCACTGACAGTTGTGGAGTTGCAAAATGTGTCCATCAGAGCAAAGGACATAACATGAGGAGATTTATGGCAGCCAACCTTCATTGTGGAGACAGCACCTGAGTGACTTACTTGCTTCATGTTCATCAGCTATAAATTCTGGTGGAAAGTTCTGGTTGTTTGTCCACTTCTGGACTTACTGTAGCCTTGTTCCGGATATTGCATTTTTTTTGTTAGTGCAGGCCCATTTTACAGATCTGGCTTATTTGTATGCTGACTGTTGGCTCTTCTTTGCCTCTCAGAAAGATGGAAACCCCTAATTAGTTGAATCTTATGACATGCTTGATAGGGAGGCAGAGGGGTCTGTTTTTGGCATGTCCTCAACAAGTCTTAAAGTGTAGATACTGACTGTTCCATCTGGACACTGGCTTATCTTCTACTCTCCCTGTTATGCATTCTTTCTTGCTAGATCTAAGTCTACTTTCAAATTCATTCAAACTTAAGAGTGCAGCCAATCACTTGACAATTCTTTTGCATCTAGATCATCGATAGTTTTTAGACATACAGCCTTTCGAATCACTATGGTGTCTCTGCCACCCCCCTCCCCCACCCCATACGATGGGTCCCAGGAACCCACACAGAGAACCTAACTGACTGATTTAATTCATTTACTTGTAGCACATGAAATATATTTATACATTAATTTGTATTTTATTGTTTCAGTTTCCGGTGCCTGTCGGTGTTGTTCTCTTCTACTAATGTTTACACTAATCAAAAAGTATTGCCTTGCGTCACATATTTTAGTTTTTTATAAACTATACTTGTAATAATCAGAGAAACTTTTCTTTAATGTTAATGCTAAATTCCTTAAGAGAACTCAGCATTTATGTTATCTAATTCTCTTTAACTAACTCAGCACATATGTTATCTACTTCTCTTTAACCCTTAACATACCCAGCACCTATGCTATCTATTTCCCTTTAACCCTTAACTAACCCAGCTCCTATGTTATCTGATCTTCCTTAACCCTCATACAACACTTCTGGTGTATTGGATAAATAGGGCTAAACCTATATTTTTTTTAGACCAAATAGCATTTGGTATGGCTGATGTGGTCAGCATCACGCTGGCTACCTTTACTTCCCGGGGCCGTACCTGGTACCCACTCAAGGCTGCATCGACCTGGAAGCCAAGGTCATTTTTGAAAAAAGTCCCGCCCTTATCAGAACCCCAACCTACAACCTTTGAGTGTTCAGCTGCTAGACCATGGTGGCTCCCACTTATGTTGTGTACTCTTCCTTAACTCTTTCAGAACCCAACTCTTATGTTATCTATATTCCCTAACTGACAGAACTCAGCTCCTATGTTATCTACTCTTCCTTAACTCTTTCAGAACCCAACTCTTATGTTATCTATATTCTCTAACTGACAGAACTCAGCTCCTATGTTATTTACTCTTCCTTAACTCTTTCAGAACCCAACTCTTATGTTATCTATATTCTCTAACTGACAGAACTCAGCTCCTATGTTATCTACTCTTCCTTAACTCTTTCAGAACCCAACTCTTATGTTATCTATATTCTCTTACTGACAGAACTCAGCTCCTGTGTTATCTACTCTTCCTTAACTCTTTCAGAACCCAACTCTTATGTTATCTATATTCCCTAACTGACAGAACTCAGCTCCTATGTTATCTACTCTTCCTTAACTCTTTCAGAACCCAACTCTTATGTTATCTATATTCTCTTACTGACAGAACTCAGCTCCTGTGTTATCTACTCTTCCTTAACTCTTTCAGAACCCAACTCTTATGTTATCTATATTCCCTAACTGACAGAACTCAGCTCCTATGTTATCTACTCTTCCTTAACTCTTTCAGAACCCAACTCTTATGTTATCTATATTCCCTAACTGACAGAACTCAGCTCCTATGTTATCTACTCTTTCTTAACTCTTTCAGAACCCAACTCTTATGTTATCTATATTCCCTAACTGACAGAACTCAGCTCCTATGTTATCTACTCTTTCCTAACCCTGACAGGACCATTGAGACAGAATGTATACACGCGCACGCACACACACACACACACACACACACACACATGCACACACGAACACACACACTATAAATATATAAATTTACTATCAATAAATTATAAATACTGATTTTTAATAATCAACATTATAGAATACACAGCATAACCTTAGATGCTTCATCTCTTCAGCTGTAGATGCTGACTGTTTCATTTGTGCAATGGTTTTGAACTATTTCTTTCTTGCTGGATCCACACCTACTTCCAAATTCACGCAAACTTACATGTTGTTTCATCTCACATTGCATCTTCCTTCAGCATTTGTTCAGAATGTTTCCATTCTCCATTGTAAGTGTTTCTATATCACTTTTGTAGAAATAATAATAATAATCTTGTTAATTATCATGCATTCCTGCATGTTATAGGTGGTACATCCATGCAAGTCTTTTATCTATAAATATATAACATTAATTCTTTGGATATCAGAAAAAAGCTTTGGTGGGAAATGCCAGTGAAGATATATCTGTGATTAAAATTCATTACTGAATTGCTTTAAAAGTGGTAGTAAAATGGTATTAGTGACCACCAGACATGCCAGATTTCTTGAGTATGTTCTGACCAAATACAAAAGTATGAGAGCATATTAAGCAGAGGAAAGGATTCAACAGATAGGTTGATCCACATATCATGCCTGTTTGGGACTAAAGGAGTTATAACATTCATTGAAACAATTCTCTGCATGTAACAGTTTCAAGTTTAAATAATATAAATTAGCTAGAGTAATATAATAACTTCTTTGTTGGCTTTTTATGAAGATAAAAATTTTAACAACTGGTGTTGTTAATGCACTGTAATATTTAATACAGTGAAACCTCATTAACAAGAATTCCAAGGGACCAAAAAAAGAGCTCGAGGTTTGAAAAAAATGTGCATGCTATATGGGGACTATAATAATGTATTTTCAGCTTTGACCACAATTATATTCATTTTACCAAGTGTCCTTTAGCCAATTTGTGTTAGCGAGGTTTTACTGTGAATATATATATATATATGGAATTTAAAAGTCATTCTATAATTAGTTTACAAGTGAGCAAATATTATAATTAATTTTGACTCTATTTAAAGTCAGTTAACATTTATAAATATTGTGATTAATTCAGTTGTCATTTTTATTATATTTAGATTTATTACTCAATGGTTGATAAACACTATTTTGTAATTGCCTTTTTTTCTTAACCTGCACCAAATCTACTTAGCTCCTCAGTAATCAGCTTCTATTATATACACACCTGTAACATTACAAATTGTGGTTAATGATCCCACACTTTCTTAATTTAGCTTAATTTTTTCAGAAACATTATTGTATTGAACGTTTTAAAATGTTAAAAGGCAAGAAGATCATTTTCATTGAACTGTTGTAAGAAAATATGGTGTTTCTGCAAAGTGGCCAAAAGCATGCTAAGAGCAACATGCATTTAAGTTTCATATCTTCATTGACAATCCCTGTAAAAATTGCACACAAGCTGAACAGCTCTGTCCAACAAGAACCCTTGACCTTCAAAGTATAAGACAAATGGCTTCACCATTCAACTCTTTCAGTCCCAAGGAATGCATCATGCATTCAAAGCTTCCTACCTAGAAACTCCATGAACATAAGATGTGCCAATTTTACGTCTCTCTTCACTACCCCTTGGGCCTCTGATGATAAGACCCCAAAGATTGAAAGAGTTAACCATACAGTCTCTCATACACATGATGGTATTGAAATATCACGTTGGGAACTACACATGGTGTTGCAGTAGCACCAGGACACATACCAGACAAAACCTATCGACACC